TTTTTAGATAATATACCTGTAAAAAATAATTCACAAGAATAAAGGTATTTTCCCCTTATTTCCTTATTTAAAGTACCTTCTATTCATGAATACCATAGACACAGAGAAGGGTATAGATAGAGACAGCTAGGAAGAAAATATAATTGTAAGCATGTAGACTTTTTATTAATCTTCAATTTTATCACTTTCATTAAATTCTTTAATAAGTATTTTAAGCATTTGCTCTCTATTTGTTTTTCTTTAAGGGCCAGAGAGAAGATGAATAAATCAGCTATTTGTTTAGTTTGTAATTTTTTATTTGTTTCTATTAACACATTTTTTATTCAAAGTAAAAGAAAAAATGTTGATTACTTTTCTTGCCAAGTCATATTGATTGATATGACAAACCATGTAGCAGCCACTGCATTATAAGAGATCAATAAATGAATATTCATAAAATCTCATCAAATATGATTCTAATATCTAATATATTCTAATATAAATCAACACAGGTGTAAAAAATTAATATGAATGAGGAAGTATTTTTATTTTCTTATTTTATGAGAAAATAAAACACTTCCTCTTTAATAACTGCATAATGTACTTACATAAAATAAAGACATAAAACTTTATAATTAATATTATATTTAATATTTGTTTAGAATATGTATTTACAATAACTCTAGAAAGAATTTCTACATAAAATATTACATAAGAAACTAATATGTGTTATGAATTTCTATTCATTACTCAGCTGATACTTACTGAATACCAATGTTTGAATTTAAAAAATTCTTTATACTTCTCAAACAAAATTTTCTTTACATAATCATAATTTCTGCATTAGCAAAAAAAACCCTTGCACAATAGATAAAGTAAATGCCTTATTCCAACAAACAGAAGCTAAAAATCATTGATTAATTAATTAAACATATACACACATTGTTGCTCCTTAAAAGGATTATTATTAAAAATGTATCAAATGAAAAATCTTTGGCACATACTCAGATAAACAAGTATCTATGTGCTGCTGTGAATTACACAAAAAATGAATTAAAAATAAACTCATTAGAGCATATAGCTTTTTCAAGCTTAATAAAAAAAAAAAATTAACAGAAAGAATTTCAGCAAACAAAGAGAAAATGACGAGGTAGATACAAAGATGAAAGATATATATAGAAGATACATCTATGAGATATACAACAAAAATTATGTAATTTATGCAGAATAAACAGGAAAGAGATATAATGCTGATAAGATAACTCACTGAAAGTAATGATGAATTTAACAACAAAACTCCATAATATACTTAAAGAATTGAAATTATACATTCACTCCAAATATTTGATATTAATAAAAGCTTCTATTTGATAAAATTCTTAATATGAGAAGAGAAAATATGATATTAAAAAAGATGGATCACACCTTCACATCAACCATTAAGAACCATGGCAGGTTTAATTTCATAACTGAGAATTAAAGCCATTTTTATATTTGTTTGCCATCACAAATATCAAAAATACATTAAAAGTGTTCATGTTACTAATTTTACCTTACTGAAAATTACATTTTTATCATTTAAAATTTAATTTTAAAAAATTGGTTCATTTTTCAAGCATAAGAGAATTTTTCCAAATTTTTAATTTAATAGTTTTCAAAAAATTTTAATCAGTAATATTTTTAAAATGAAATCAAAAAAATATGTTCCATATTTACTATGCCATAGTCTTTAACACATTAATTACAGTATAATTTCCTAATACATTATTTGCAATTCTTCTCTACAATTTCTTTTTATGTGGTATATCTTCATGGTTATTAACAGCAGCTAGATGTCCATATGGCTTAAATCTTGATAAATACTTACATATCACAGTCCTGTATATTATTTGAAAAATATTTTGAATTCTTAACAATGCATAAAGGACTGAAGAGTTAATACTACCATTATATAAGACAAAGCAGAATCCAAATATTTAGCATATAATATATTGAATTAGGTCCTATTATATTAAAGTTTCCATGAAAGAAATGTAGTCTATTATACAAACATCAACTAAACAATCTTAAGCAATATCAGAGAGCTTGAACATTTAATAATAATTAATATGTTACGAATGACCTAAATTTGATAATTATGACTGGAATTACATTCTGTTGCATAAGTTATCAGGCTGCTATATATTACACAGATTTTATTCAGAGAAGAAAGAAAAGATTTGACTCTTAAATACGAGAAACCTCAACACCAAATACTAACATTACTTAAGACTAAGCTGAGTATAAAATGAATATTAAGAAGATTGGCAATATATTGCACAAAAAAAAAGTACTTATATGGAATAGATCAATGTCTCAAATATTATATCAAAATAAAAAAAAGACATTACATTAAAGTAGCAAAATGAAATAGTATTTTACTGTTAAAGGGGCACCCAGTCACCAAATGATGGAATCATGTGCAAAATGGCGCGAAATAAAGATCAGCATGTCAAAGGCCACTATCATTCATTCCTACTTCGTTGAATTCTTGTGGCAGTGATTGCATGAAAAAATGTGAATGTTTTTTGGCTATGTTAAACGAAATTAGAAGGTACAAATATGCCTTTTGTGTAATCAGGAATTAGTCTAGCAAACTGTGTTTTACATTTTTTGTATCTGTTTTTACTTTTTGTACTTATTCTGAATTTAATAAAATTCCATTCTTTTCATGGTGCTTTACATACTTTACATTAGGGTTGCTGCCACCTCACTAGATTTCCCACCAATGTTTAGGTTTGATACTAAGTGGTACCTCTTTAACAGAAAAATACAAAAGAAATAATTTATAGAAACATTTTTTACACATAAATAGTACACATAAGTAGATAATTAATCAAAAGCACAAAAAAGATAATAATCTACTATCCAATATTTTGCATTAATTATAAACTAAAAATTTTTAATTTATTCTGAATATATTTTAAAATTAAATTATAAAATATATACTTTTTAATTTAAATTAAAGAAAAAAATTCTCCATAACATGTTAATTACAATATGTTACAGCTTCTTACTAACTTATCTTAAATTTTATATTGAACATTGAATGATAAAATTAAAAAAAAAAAAAAGTATATAAACTTTGGCCCTTACTTGTCAGCATTATAATTAAGGATAGAATTTTAATCAGTAATTATTATGGACTATTAACAAAGAATACTGTGTACTTCTTTGTGAAAGCAACCACAGCACTTGGTTATCAAAATTAGCAAATTTAATTGTTCATTCTATAATGCGTATATTTCAAGTGTTCCCAAAGCCTCATGCTTTAACAAGAAAAAATTCTGTAAATTTCATTTTATCTTTGTTCAAAGGAACAAACAAGAAAATCAAAATATGCAAATTATTAATTTTGCTCTGTTTTTGTACCATAATGATTTCAAGTCATTCACAATTTCAGCACTTCTAAGAACACGGTTATTTATTTAAATTATTACAGAAATTTTTTCCAAGTATCTTTTTTCTTAAAAATAATAAAAAAAGACAGCATGAAAAGTGGATATCCATTAACTAAAATCTTCATTAATTAATAAATATATTCCTCACAATGAAAGAATTTCAGTAAATTATTTGCTCTTTTTAGTGAAAGCCCTACCATTGACTGAGTGGTTAAGACTGCTGATTACTGGAAGTTCAAGCCAGGTGAATGTGCTGGCAGCATGGTTGCTTTTTGTAGTTTTCTCCACATATAATGTGAATACACGCATTTCTTAGAAAGTTCTAAACAAAAGCATCCCTGCCATATTCAAATAACCTAAACCTATCCTTAAAAGTAAATAAAAAAAGAAAAAAACCATACTGTTACTATACTGTTACTAAAAAAATGGGCTATTCCTGCTTTAGACTGTCTACTACTTGGATAGCGAAAAATGCCTTTTTCCTTTCTTAAATTCTTAATCATTGCGACACGACAATTAGCCAGAAATTAATTAATTTCCATTCACTAGTATTTTTAAAAAAATCTTAACAGACGGTCTCTCTCAGATAAGAACTCCACAAAATACATCCCTCAAGAATTCCAAGTCCCACCCACTACCATAAATTTCTTCACCCAAGTCTTGCCGACTGATATAATTCAAAGCCCCCTACTGCCGCTAAGAATTTTCGGACACCCTACACTTCTGAGTCAGGACACGAAGAGAACACACTGCCAACTCCCCCACTAGAAAGAATGTAAGTTACTTAATACCTTTCTGGCCTTTATATCTTCATGTACATTCACTGATCTTATTTATATTATTTTCTATTATTATTTTTATATTATTTTTATGTTCTCTTTGATTTGTTTTTGCAAAGTTTGCATTATTTATCTTTTTTATAATCTTCTATGTTTATTTCAACTTTACTTTGATTTCGATTTCATAATGACAATTTCCAATGTTTAATTTCTACAAATAATATAGTACTCAAATACATAAAGATGATAGTGTCGGGGACGATTACTCGAGTTTTACAAGATTTCTCTACAGTAATTGATTTTTTACTCCAAATTGAATTGACTAAAATGCTTCATGAGAATCAGTTCTTTGAGTAACAACTATTCGCGGAAATATTTGGCCTGACTAGAATTGCCGGTTTGGCTTTAATTTATAACTCGAGTAAAGACGAAACACTTTCATATTTACGTATTTTATCAATTATTGATCATTGAACGGGAGTTGGTTTGTTCCCCTTGAAAAGTCAACTAATTTCCGATCAATGACAATAATTACATGTTTTAATTTTTACTTTTACAATTGTAATATTATTCTTCGTGATGATTTAACTCCAGTCCAGTCCCCGTTAAAACATTATTAACATTTTGCTTTCAAATTACTTCAAAACATCTTTCAAAATATAACTTACCAGTATGGATGCACACTTTTAAAATAATTCTACTTTAATTAAACTTAGGAGATAATATAATCAATTAATCAATATTTAGGAAATAATTATTATTAACTAACTTTGCAGCAATTGCGCAAGTAATAATAACTTGTATTCGCACTAAATGGATTTAAAGTTCATACAAACAATATATATATATATATATATATATATATATCAATGAAGGTATATAGTCAATCTTGAAAGATGATATTAAAACAGGCTAATTATGAATTTTATTTGTTTTTCAAGTTCAGTTTGGGACACATTTCTTATAACTGCTCTTTTGCACACATTATCTAAAATAAAAAGTATTTGATTGATTATATTTTTACATATTTGCCTACATAATTTTATTTTCACTACCAAAAATAAATATTTAATTAATTAATATTTATAACTTATTTTCTTTTGCTATTGTTTATGGCAATCACAATGTAAAAGAACAAAAATTATCATATTCACCATTATTAAAATTTTTAAAACAAAAAGCTTCAGCTTCTTTAAAACATTATTTAAGTCCCTATTTCATATCTGAAATGTATTTTCTTATTATTAGATCACAAAACTGCACTGTTGAACAGAACTAAATTAAATAAAAATGCATTTGAATGAAGTTTATTGATCTGCATATTACTTTCTAAGGAATTTTATAGTAATTGATCAATTATTATGATTACAGCAAAACATTTACTATAACTTCTTTCCATAGTCCTCACCAAAATGTAAATTAGTTGTTTGTGAATCCAAGTGGAGGGTTTGAATATTTAGATTACAGCTTCAGGCAGCTTCATCTTGCTATTACCTAGTATCATTGACTCTACCAAATTTTATCCTGACTTTAGTATCTTGCTAACCAATGTTTAAATACAAGCCATAGTTGTCTTGAGCCACCTTACATAGATTAATTTGTGTTGTAATTTCAGACTATATTTCCTACATTTGAATTTAATGCTATCTTATGTTAATTTTAAGTTCCAACGAGTAGCAGAGGTTCATCTGCTGTACAAGCAGTGCTATCTGTTTGTTTATGACTTAAATAAAAAGGTTATTTTAACCTTCTTTAGACTTGGTGAGTTGTTTCAGACTAAGCAATTACTCACTTCCAATATAGTAAAGTCACTGACACAAAACCTTTTGCTCAGAATTGATTATTTTTATGATATAGCTGAAAAGAGCAAACACATTTTGCACTGTATTTTTCCATATTGCTAAAAGTTTTAGATTTTAGGATAATTAAAGGACAGTCATGAGAGACAAATTCGAGTGAACGTTTACATATATCACCCCCTTCAAGAAAATATGCTCTATGTCTCTGTGCTTCCACAAAAGTCTTAAAATTAGTATCTCTTCTTGATCATGAAATACACTGGATTTTTTTACTTAAATAAAAAAAAAGGGTGAAAACGGCATTTAGCATTTGCTTTATGCAATCTGTGATGAAGAATAAGACTTTAACCATAAAAAAAACCTACAATTTTAACTTAAGGGCAGTATGCACATTAATTTGAGAGTCTACAATGAACTATATAATAGAAAACTGCACAATGAAGCATATTATCTAATTTTAAAATTTTCACATTACTCATAGCAAAAAAACAAGCACTGACTTTCAATATTAGGGTACATTTGTAGAAAAATTAGTGAATAGCCTTAAAAAATAAGATATGGTTGTTTTCCTTTTAATCTCTGATCCCCTACAATCCCTACTTTTAAATTTCTAATTCAACCTCCGGTCATAATTATAAAATCGCTATGGCGAGAATTATCATCAATATCACCACCTTTTTGAAGAGCTGCATGCTAAGAAGAAACCAGTGGAGAGCAAACTAGCAGACTTTGCAAGGGCCAAGAACGGAGATATCCAAAAGATACTTTGTAAATTTTCTATGAAATGTAGAAATTATTGAGTTACAAGAATTTTCAACAGATTTTTCAAAGATTTGTGTTAAAAGATATTAAGCCATGAACAACCCCCCCCCTCCCATTGATGCTTCTGTTATCAGAGATCTGGATGTACCGCAGAATGTTAAAGTAAGATCAGGTGTATGAAATGCCTAAAAGGGCATGTTTCACACAAATGCACTCTGGACAAGAGAGTAAAAGTGAAATGTATAAACTGCAATGCAGGAGATCTATCTTCTCAACTATGAATAAATAGTAAAAATTATATATTACTCACATTATTCCAACTTATTCAATCAGTGTGTTTATGAGAACATTCTACTCTTAGATTTCATGCAATACTTGCTATGATTTGGTGTGACTGTTTGATCCTGGAATGCTAAAAAAATTCCCTGAATAAAGTAATAGTAATTTATTCTCCTTATCATTTTGTTTTAAAACATATTCATGAAAACTTTCGTAAAGCAGAGGAAACTTGTACTTCCATTCCTTAGCTTCTTCAGGGAATATACAAATGTGTGTATTTAATTTTTTTAATTCAAATTATTCTAGTCGAAAAAATTAAAATCTAAAACTCACTAAAAAATCTCTCAGCAATGAAAACAAAAAAAAAAAAAAAAAAAAAAAAAATTGTCATATGATAGCAATTTATTTTACTTGATAATCACTGCTATACTCTATAGAATAATCTGTTTCTATATACTGTTATAATAATAATCTGTTTTCAAAACAAAATTAGACTCTATAGGTCACTGCCCTAAAAATGGAACTGAAAATTCCTCCATGGTAACATGACAAAAATTGTGTAAAACAAACTTATTAAATTTGTGAAAAATGTAAAGCCAGTATGCCCTGAATATACAAAATATTTTTGTTCATAATTTGCTATTAATATTCAAGGGCCATATTTATGCGGACATTTCTTGTGCATATGTTTACTGCTTTACCCAACTGTTTTCCTTAGTACACCAAATTTCTACTAATATGAAAAGAACAACAACTACCGAAGCACAAAATTAAATGACTTTATGTCACTTTAAAAAATTTATCCCTAAAGATGTTAATAATCATATACTTCAGTGCTTTCTTTTACTATATATACGTTAATAGTCCATAATAAGATCATTAAAGATCAATATTATAATGCTGCAGGTAAGTAGCCATGAAATTAAAATTTTATTTAAAGAGAAACTTTTTAAATATTTTAAAGAAAAGGAAAAAAAATGGTTTATATATTCATTACTGCAATATTTTAATATAATTTTAGAATTAAAATGAGCAGAAGATTTCCAGAACAAGAAATAGAAAAGAAGGTTTTATTTTTAATTATGGTTTCATCTACTTGGCTCAGTATCCTTCAAAACTGAGTTATTAATCATATTAATCTTTCTTTAACTAATACCAAAATATTTATGTACTTAGTAAATACGGTGAATAGTCAATTATCAGGAAAAACCTAAACATCTAATTTCTTAGACTGCCTTATTCATGATTGAAAAATACATAGGAAAAAAATATTTTCCTGAGGTAGAGATATTTATATCACATCTTTGTTTCAAAACCTCTTACTTAGTAACTTCTAGAGAAAAGCATGATAGTACAACTTTGCTAATAAATTATCATATATGACAATTATTCACCACATGCATAACCAGACTGAAATTCAGAAAAAAACAAGATAAAACCTAATGGGCAGGAAAAGAGGATCCTAAACAAATTACTCGTTGAATGGGAGAATATATGAACACATTAGGACAAGCTTGTACTGTATAAATATAAAACCCTGATACCATTGTTCTATAGAGGTTATCTGAGCCAAGAAGATGAAATGTCACACAAAAAAAAGTATTTCTTCAACAGTTTTATATTTTATAACTAATTTTGTTTTTTTAACTTTCATTTTAATCAAGCTATTTAAAACTTGAGCTACAAATAAACTGAATTACTGTAAATAATATTTATTTAGGTATGGAATAAAGTATTATAAAGAAAACACTTTAAGAACTGAATTCTGAGGATATACTTTGATTTAACCACTATATAAACATCTTTCATATTACAGCTATCATTCTTCTTGAAACCAAACCTCAAATTCCTTGACTATGTCTAGAGTTATATCAACTTCTGCTTTCTCGGGAACTTCTTGAGCCAGAACAGAATGAAAACATTTACGTAAACTGTCTATTTGGTGCATGTGTTCAGCATAGTTAGAATTTCTTAGGAGATTTTGTATAAGTGTTAAATAAAGCAACCGTTTCTGAAAGAAAAATATAATAATAATGAACATTCGATAAAAATTTTAAGCAAATTATAGAAAGCAAAAATTAATTACACATAATCTGTTTGATTCCAAATTTATATCAAATCAAATTTTGATTTTTATTATTTAAATTAAGTAGCAGAAATCATTACAGCAGAAAAAGAACATCAGAAATTATATTGAAGAAGCAGAAATTACATTCACTGTACATATTTTTCTCTTAAAAGAAAAAAAATTTTTTTTTTTTTTTTTTTTTTGTGTGTGTGTAAAAATGCTAGCATATCATTAACCCGTGAGCATGCATGCTGGATCCAATGGACCCACCCTATTAAAGACACTTTTCTGAAAATGCCCCTATTTTTCCCAAGTGGTTGTGGTTCAGTGTAGTCTCCTCCAAAGCCATCTTCTTTATGTTTCCGACGTTTTTTGCCGGAAATTTTTTTAAAAGACAAAATACCCAATGGTAAAAAGAAAGTCTAAAGCTGATGTTAGAACTCCTGCTCATAATATTATTACTAAATTGCCTGGAAACAACCGTGGTAACTTTTACTAAGTGAACAAATGTTGCTGAAAGTCGTCAGTTATACAAATATTTATATTGCATCTATTTCTGACAGCTTTCAAAGAGAGAGATATGCTCATAACACAACTCTAATTGAAATTCTCACTTTTATAGGTCTTTTATATTTTTGTGACATAAGTCATCTCATGTAAATGTGCGGGATTTGCGGGCAATAGATGGAACTGGCTTGGAAATTTTCCACAAAACTATGTCCTACATATGTTTATATATATATATAAAGATGTTTATGATGATGTTTATTTTGATGACATAGGAACTCGCGTCTTCAAGAATGAATCAGATAAACTTGCACCTGTAAGAGAGTTTTTTGAAGATTTTGTGAATAACTGCCAGAAATATTAGTGTCGGTGAGTTCATAACAATTAACCTTTTGAGACAGGGACTTTGGTAGCAGTAAAGGCCTTGAAAGGATGGGGAATTCTGAACCGAATGCTTTCTCTCCTTTAAGAAATCACCTCCTATTTGCAACAGAGATTCTTGTGTGTAGTTTAATGGATTCTCAGAGGGGTGCATCTCTGTCACAAAAGAAAGGGAAGTGTAGGGATTAGTTCCCAGACTTCAAGATGCTTTTTGTCACTGAGGGAAAATTTCATATTACAGTTGTTCCAGATTGAGATTATTGGGAAACCTGTAAATCTCTGTTGAAGAAAATTTCATTCTTTATATTATAGGACGTTACTTTCATTTTTATAAAATTTTGGTTTGAATTTTAAATTACACCGCAAAACTATGTGTTTTTACTAAGTGCTTACAATAATTATTTCTATCATGTATCCTTTATACTAATGTTATGTCAAAAAAAATATTTCAACTATTTGATTATTTCCTTGGACAATTTCCTTGCAAAATTAAAATTCAACCAATCGTTCATCTCAGTCTTTTTTTTTTTTTTTTTAACTGTTAAATGTCCTTATAATTTTAAATTGTTTTGGTATATATTATCAAAATATCCTATATCTTTGGACTTTCTTCCATACAGGGAATAATTAAAAAATAAATGCTTAAAGCTATAGAAATGATTAAAAATTAAAGTTCAGTGGAACTGTTAAAATTATGCTCTGTAAGCATAATGAAATTTTAATTTTACATAATTGTTCAAAATCTGCTTGATAACATACTATTTAAGGAGGAAACTTTCAGCAAATTAGAATATAACTGGTTTAATTTAAAATTATTTTATTTTACTGTAGACTGTTAGTACTGAAATGTACTAACAATCTACAGTTTATTGTAGACTGTTAGTACATACTAAGTGCTACTAATTAAAATTCAATTCTTTTCCAAATTAATGCATAATAAAACAGACACTCAAAAACTGTTTTTTAGAATATTTTAGTTTTAAAAATTTGAAAAAAAAAAAAAAAGATTATTTAATCATGTACCATTTTATACTGTTTATTGAAAATTAGTAAGTGATATATTTCAAGTATTAATAATAGAATGAATTTAAGTCATTAAAAATGTCAAATTATTTAGTATGCAAGCCCATAATTCAAAAGGTAAATTCTATTTGTCTAAAACTAAATTCCCAGCCTCATTAAGGGAACGTGTTCACTCGGGTATCAAAATTTAGGTAATTTCTTAGTACAAAGGGTTTTTCAAATTGAAGGGAAAATTGTTTGTTATGCATAGTGTCTGCAAAAACTGTGGGACAAAAGTTACATGATAATTAGTTGTTGTCTTCAATACTGTATTATGTTATTCTACATTATGCTACATAATTTGGAACATTAAGAGAAATTTCCAGATAAGTTCAGGTGCGCGGTCAGCAAAATTCTCTCCTGTTTGAAATTGTTGTCGCCTGTGAATTTTTCTATTTCCTCTATTGTTTAAACCAGTTCATTTCAACTCCAGACTGTCTTTGTAGCAGCTTTGTCATCAACCATGGCGGCATATTTTATATGGTGGAATTTAAATTCTACGATATATTAGCGAGTATCTTTACTTGCAGTTACTCAAAAAACCTTCATTGTCAGGTCATGCGAAATCTATACTGACACAGTTGAATTAACTGTTTTTCGCTTTTTTATTGAAAATTTGGCAGCTATTCATTGGTTTCATTAACACCTCATTAACACCATTAACTTATGCTTTTGTATCGAAACATTTCATAACTAAGTGCCCAAGGTATGTCCCCAGGAATTTGTCCTTGAATGTAGTTGCTGAGATATATGTCTAATGAATGACAAAGGCATTAAATCACTTAAAAGGTCAAGGTTCAGAAATTCAGATAGGGAACATGTGTTGTCTTAGAACAATGATTTGTACATTATTTGAGAGCTTTTACATTGTGTTTGTATTCTCAGAGCTCAACAGACAATGAAATTTTACAAATGCTACTTCAAAATTATTTGACCGTGAAAATTTCGGAGGTACCTTTTAAAATAACAGTACATCTCGAATCTAATGGCTAGAGATGACTTTTCAAACTGATTGGCTAATTTTAGTGTACTTACGATTTCCAGGTTTCAGACTGAAATTGTAAAACTACTGTTGTTTCTTTGACACAAAATTTATATTTATGTTCTTGTGATTTGTTTGAATAACAGTACCATCACAGTAAACTTCCTGTGTGAAGGTCACTTCAGCATAAACAGATATGTATAGAAATAAAGACAGACAGAACTGATAAGAATGTAAGAAAAACTGCATGTACATGTATACAAGTAAGTGGGAATTTATATTTATTTATGGAAATGTTTACGCACATATCCATGCAGTATATATGTCTGCACTGATATAATATGGTATAAGTGCAGATATGCACATAAAGCGGAAAGCATGCATACCCTTAAATGGGAATAATGTATATACAGACACGTACACGTACACACACAGCCACACATATGCAGTTATATATATGTATTTGCGTGTGGATTTATGCACACGTGTATAAATATACAGATAAATGTATTTATATATATTTCATCATCAAGCTTTCGAAAAAGTTTTCATATTTCTTCTTCAGTCAGACCTCTTTTCCTTTTCGGCATATTGCTAGAAAAATGTCAAAATAATTTCTAAAAACTTACAAAAATATGCAATATTCTAAAGCAACGCAAGGCTCTGTTTACAATTTGCAAATGCAGTTATCGCAAATTCTGTAACTATGTAGCTTCAAGAACTAAAAGGGAAAAATTGGGAAAAACCAGATTCTTAACACAAAGGTCTTTGAAAGAGATAAGTGGTTAAAATCCCAGGGATATCAAATTTGACATTTCACCCCACTCTTTCAGCCTGGAAATTGGGGAAAAATGACATGGCCACTAAAGTGGACAAACCCGTCATTTCAAACAGAGGACTCTATGGCCACTATAATGGCCTCTCGTCTTCAAAAGGTTAATGAAAAACTTGAAGCCTTCTGAGGAAGATGTTCTTTCAAGCAGTATTTTCCTGATAAACATGAATAATAATTCCTGAATAACCTGAATATTAATATAATGAATTCCTAATAAATTCTACATTCATATAATACGTTTTTCTATTCCTTTAAAAAAATTTATTTCATAAAGGATATTATAGAAATTGAAATTAAAATTTTAATTTTTATAGTTTGCATATTTTTTTAAGTTTGATCATAAAATTTTGGCATAAATGTAACACTTTTATCTGAAGAGTTTAGTTTACGAGTGTGTTGCAACCCTCCTGGCTGATAATAATCAGCCTCATGGTTAACACAGCACACCCAACGCAGACAAACAAAAATACAGACAAAAAATAAAAGCACAAATTAAACAGATTAACACAGATTGTGTATCTTGAAAAATACACTCACACAATACAAAATAAGGAAAATCATAAGCATAATCGGTTAAAAAACCAAAAATAGTAAGACGACACATAAGTCACTCACCCAACAGATAAACTCATAAAAAAAAGAAAAACTAAAATATTTAATGTCCTATTCCTATGATAGTCTTGTTTTCATTCACAATCCTCATAAATTCTGTTGCATAGCTATTCAAGAATTCAATTACCTGAAGAGTAACAGTTTTTTCTTCAAAAAACAGGAGCCAGGTCTTTTCGACCCAGGGTGCGCACTATTGTAACTCAAAAGAGCGTGCATGCTCCCGGGTAAAGTATAATTCTAATAAAAATTTTAAAATTTCAAATTTTTTTCATGTGGGTATTTCCTAATAAATTCTGAATGAGAAATCAATCACATACTTCTCAAATATTTTTTAGATTTAAATATTAGTTTACTAACAATTTTCATTGATTTCATAAAATAATACTAATTTTTTCTTTAAACAAATTATCTTTTGAAATAATATTAAGAATCAACTTGAAAATAAAAATTCCTGGCAAAAACTGGCAAAAAAACATCGAAATACTCCAGATTTTAAACTCTATCAAAGATATTAAAATGTATTTATTTACTAATGTTTCATATCCTAACAACTGCATTAGAAGTGCAGTATGTACATTATGTAATCTAAAAACTATAGTTAAATGTCATTTTTTGGCTTAGCAAATCTATGTGAAAAGAACTTCATTTATATTGATTGCATCACACAAATCCTCACCATACAAGATATACGGAACATGAAGGGTTGATTCTTAAATGCTTCTTTCATTTTTCTTCCCTAAATACAATACCTAATGAATAAATTAAAGATTTGAATGCAGAATGAAGCTAGCACAGAATTCTTAAACTCTTCTTTCCCATTTCTTCATAAAATAAAATAACTAATGAATTAATTGAAAATTTGACTGTAGAATTAAATCAGTCTTCATTGAAGATAAATAAGGAGAATTCTCAAAGAGAACCTAATTGGTTTATGAGCTATGAATGGAAATGGAATAATCAAGATTAAGATTAGGCTTGCAAAATCTTAAACTTTACACTGGCAACAGCTTTAAATTATTTTATAAATGTTAACATTATAACTTAATATTTGGTATGATTAATTTATTAAAAATCAATCATACCAAAATTCCTTATTTCAAGGTCAAGATTTCAGAAATATTCTATTAAAACACTGAATGCATCTGAGATTGAGTATTCAAACTTATTATACCACTGATGCATCAAATACGAAAAGAAATTTATAGACATTCAATTGCTTTAATGGTAAATTACATAATAGGCACATATTACCACTAAGATGGCTGATATTCAACCAAGTTTCCCATATACTGATTCACATAATATTTGTTTCAAATCTGAATTTCCTTCTTCTCCAAATAAAGTAAATTATTAAATTTTTTGAGCATGTATATATATCAAAAGCAATAATTCTGTCAATGGGACACATTTTTTTACTTTTAAAGTCAAAAAGATGTTTCAACATGATCTTAAAACCTGATCCTTTAAACTAAAAGCATATAAGAGGTTTCAAAAACATATACATATTCAATTATTCTTATTAGTAAGTATTTGTGCTCTTTCTCAATATGATGTACAAGAAATTACATGAAAAAAATATAAGAATGTAAAAATTTCTATACTAGGTTAATATGAGCAATAATAATGTATAGGTCTCTTTTATTTCCTTTGGTACTTGCTCTACATGTAGGAAATCTTAATGATGTTTGAGGAAGGTGTTTTCTTTTTATTATGAATTTAAATATAAGGGAAAAGATTTCAACCGAAATTTTAAGTGCTAATATAATTTGCAATTACGAAATTGCTTCAAGTAATATAAATTCAATAAAATTTCACTCAGTAAATCAACCTTAAATTTTAAAAAATGAGAAAATAAATTTATATAAAGAGTTTTCAAGAAAATAAGATATAAAATTTCTGAATATTCTACAGTAACAATGCATAGAATATATAGTAGTAAAAACACAAAATATTACCAAGTTTAGTTTTAATTTTTAGCCTTTAAACTAGAAATACAATCATATTTTAGCAAGGTTTAAATAAAAGTGTTAATTAATTGCATAAGAGAAACATAAATAACTACAAATTCTTTAGTATTCAAAACAAGAAAATATTCTGTTCACAAAGTCTGAAATCCTTTTAAGTCCTTTTTGAAACTGGAAGTTTTTGTGTAAAGCAGTAACTGTGATGAATAATCAGAACCAGTATTTTCAGAAGACACTAAAAAGGTATGTAATAAGTAATAGCTTCCTTCTGCTTCTTTCATCAGCATACTTTTCTAATGTTCCTGAAATTCCACTTCATCATCACTGTTTGATGACAATATGGAGAAATTTACATCTCTCACAATTTTAGCATCTGTTAAAATCCTACTTTCTGCAATGGATAAATCTGCTTCCAATAATTCTCCAGATTAAATTTCAAGGTTTAACTTCTTGTTAAGAATTTCCTACTGTTTAGAAGCTACATTTCCCTGAGATATGATAAATTTAGTGCCTTCATTCCCCCCCTCCCATTATAATTCACTGCTTAGAAGAAATAGCTTTTAACTATTTCTCTCATTACATTTCTCCAAATGAAGTCAGTCATGTGCATGGCATTCATTACATAGGTAACAGAAAGGATTTAACAGTCATCATTAGCATCTGAAACTGTTTAGCTTCTGTCTATAAACTTTACAATCTTTGATGAATCCCTGATGAAGAAGGTATAACTATGGTGCCATCTTTGCAGGCAAAATCTTTTACTATGATATTTCCTACACTTAAACAGGGAAAAGCAGACTTTTATTTTTATTTTTTGGGCCATGGTTCTGGCAACTTCTTCCAGCCAATCAACAAAAAATCCTCTAATATTCCAGGTTTGACTTTTTGCTTTATTTACAAATAATTTAATTTTAGTAAAGCACTTGGTTTCTGCATTCACTTGGTATTTTATTATAACAAATTCCAAACATTACATATCAATTTTTCAAGGCACCTTTGATTTGCTACTTATAGTATAAGTTTGTTTGCTTTGTTTACTACTGTAGCACTCCTCTCCCTAGGATATGGCTATTTTACCAAGTAAACACATAAAAAAAATCAAATTTCATGTATATTAGATATATGACCTTGTAGAGACATTAGGAATTTTTTGAAAGCACGCAAGATGAAAAATGAGCAATTGCCTTCACCGGGAATTGAACCACGGACCTCTGGAATACCGGCCCAGCGCGCGCAACCACTACACCATGAAGGCACACTATGAAAGTGGGAGAAATACCTTATATACTCCCCTTTTTAAAGGGCGACTGGAGTTTTCAGGGGACCCAATCGCCAAATCATGGATGTGGAGAATCCTCATCCAACACTTTTTTTTTAGTTCGGGTGCCACTGTAGAGACATTAGGTATTTTTTGGAAGGAGGCAAGATGAAAAATGAGAAATCACCTTCACCGGGAATCAAACCACAGACCTCTGGAATACTGGCCCAGTGTGCAGAACCACTACATCACAAAGGCATGCTAGGAAAGCAGGAGAAATACCTTATAACCTGACTTCTAGCTTTGCAACAGTAGAGGAACCAGTTGTCTCACAAATTATCAAAACATTTTAAGTAAGATATTTTGACTGCTTTTGAAGTTTTCAGACAGCCTTTGAATTGCTACCTTTGAATTTATTCTTATTACAACAAATTCCTCACCAAAATTCAAAGTGTTTTGCTGCTACATTAATTCATGAATAGAAACTCTCTGAATTGCTTAAATTACTTCTCCACACTTTTTCTATATCAAGCTATTCCAATTTTCCAAATTTCTCCATTTCCTTCATGTCATCATAGTTCCTTTCAATAATTTTTTTATCCTTTATTATCATTCCAATAACACTTGAGAGTTTTTTAAATTTTAAAGTATTTTTCTAAAAGAGTTACCTTCTCTAAAAAATTCTAAATTTTAATCATTTATTCTATTGATACAGTCCCCCCTCAGCATATTGTCTACAAATGTAATGTACACAAGTAATGTATAAGAAATTCCTACTGAACTTTTCCTTAAGAAGAAAGAGAGATCATAAATTATAATTTTTCCTTGCTGGTCATCATACTAGAGAATGAATAAGGAATAGAAAATAGAAATAGGAAACAGAAATAGAAAATAGAAAAGGAAATAGAAAATGTTCCATATGAGCATTTTTAAAAGTTTTGAATGTTCTGCACTTTAGAACACAAAAAAATGAATTTAAAAGATAACCCCACACCCTGTTATGATAACTCTTTACATTACCATTCATTTGATTTCTGTTCGAGCATTAAAATCCAGAGGCAACGGCGGGAGCTATCAATTCATAACACACGTAAACCATAGATCTATGCACAGATAATTTCTCAACCAGTGGTACTATGCAGTAGAGAGTAATAATAATCAACTAAGCCACTGACCATATATGTGGTCAATTTATTTATTGCTTTAACACAGAAATCAGAAATTTAATATAGCAAAAGTTAATGCACTGGCTTATTTATTTATTTATTGACTTGCTAAAGGAATTTAAGTAAAGAGATTCAAAATTTCAAAGTTTGATTGCAATAGCAACAAGACTAAGAGAATAAAAATTAAGTGAAAAAAGTATGTTTTGATGAAAGCACTTATTTATCAGAAATCGTGAAATTTTTGCTAGATTATTTGTCACATTCTTAACTGTTTCTGAAACACAAACTTTCTAATAAATTTATAGATATCTAAGGTAAGAAATATAAAGATATTCTTAAAAAAAAAAAAAAAAAAAAGTATACATTAGGCTTCAAAACTGGTCAGTTAAAAATTAATTCAATAATTTGGATATTTAAAATCTTAATTTTTTATTAAAAAATTGCCAGATGAATTTTTACTCTCTAATTTATTCGCTCACCCTGTGGTGTAGTAAAAGACATAGAAATTACCTTTTCTCCAGGAATCAAATCCATTAGTTGCCTGACTATTATGTCAATCAATACTTTGATGTCGTTCAGATAAAACAGATCTATCAAGGATGGAACTGTGAACATATCTACCAAAAACTTTAAGACAGAATTTGGAGTTTCCATATCATGGCTTAAAATTCTAGCAGGATCTTCTGCAATAAACAAAGATAAACAATTAAAAAATATATACTTTTTGCACAATTTGGAAAGCAAATTATTGCAACACAAACGTGACTTTTTGGACAGTTCACAAAACAGATTATTTCAGTATTGACTTAGCATTATATGCATAACAGATGCTTACAAATATTACACATTTAAATTAACCCCTTGACATGCAGTGGGCGCACCTTAAAAGTTGAGTGTTTTCAATTTTCAAATTTTTTTCCTTTCTTCCTTCCGAAATTTTTGAGTGAAAACCGATTGATTACTTATCTTTTACCTCTAAATAACATGAAATGACTGCAGAACCATGCATTTTTTAGGCCTAAGTAATAAAAATTCAATGCCTTTTAAAATTTACTTTCAATGACACAAAATAACTTCCTTTTATTAATAAAAACAACTTTAAATTTCAAAAGTTATTCATCATACATCATTATTTCTATCATACCCAATAAAAATACAGCAATAATTAAACTGCATGTATAAATAACATGTATATATCATGGCATTTGCTTTGTAATCTCAGAGCACAACCACTGAGCACATTTTGTTACAATGCACCAGAAGCTCAGATGTCACACTCTGAAACCACTGCTCTTCACAATAGTGTTTCCTGCTTTCAAATAGGAGTGTTTATTTTTACCGGGATATAGATAAGGGGCTCTGAAATGACACAGTTATTTTATTACTAAACAGTACATGTACCTGCCCAGTGAAAAAGTCTTTAATTTCCAGAGATTTTTCTCTGAGCTCAACATGCTTGCTTCAAATGGTAGTATTGTGATTTTATAAATTATTTTGCATGGTTTAAATATAACGTAAATATATTTTTAACTATAACAAAAATAGAAATTGTGTAAAAGTTTTATTTAAATTTAAAATATTTTTTCCTACTGCTGAGATTTAAAATTCCTCATAAACGCCTAGAAATAGTTGATGTATTAGCTTTATTAGCTTTACTTGAAGAATTACCACCAGATTCAGAATCAGTGATCTCTGAGGATGAAAGTGACGGAGAAGGAAATACTCCTTTATCCCTTCCCTCCTGCTTATAGAAATATAAAGGTGATGATCAGGCAGAAAATGTTAATATAAATTTACCAGGTCCTTTTGGAACTGCATAGGTAACATGGAATAATACACAGAACGTAGTTAAATCAATACCCGAATTTTCCAAGGATTACGGCACAATTGCAAAAAATGTCTCTGTGGAAGATACAAAACCCATTGATATACTACTTATGTCTTCTTTTACTACTGCCTTCTTAGATCAGGGGATCCCAACCCTATGCCCGCTGGCACCATGGTGCTCGCCGATCATTTAACGCGTGCCTGCCGCTGTGCAATTACAATAAAAATGTTTTAGTTTTCAATAAAACTCTGGGTGAAAAATTTCTCATTTTTAATGAAATAGAGATTTTGTCCAACACACATACAAGCACAACGTGAAATGCGACCGATTTCTTCTTTTTATGTGCTCTATACAACTATAAATTTCCCTTGAAGAAGTAAATATTGCCCACCATCCAACAGATATTCTAGAAGAGAAAAAGGTTGGGAACCCCTGTCTCAGATAAATTAGATTTTGAAATAATTTATATGCAACTCAAAAAAATTCAAAGATATCAGATTTCTGGTCAACTAATAAAAGACTATGAATCTTATGTGGTGAAACAAATACCAATAAAGAAGTTTTCATAGGCAATTGGGGAATTTGCATTTGAATGACAACACACTAATGACAAAAAAGGAGAATAAGACATTTGCCAAACAATATAAAATTCAGCCTCCTATTGACTCATTTGTAAGAATGATTCAATAGTCTGTTTAGACCAAGAAAAAACTGATCGATGAATTAATGATTTGTTTCAAAAGTAGAAGCAGACTAAAACAATACTTGCCTAAAAAACCAATAAAACACAGATATAAAGTATGGATGCACTGTGATGAAAGTGGCTACACTTGTAAATTTTTAAACGTATACTGGTAAAACCCTGGAAGCTGAAAAAACTCTGAGTGAAAGCATGGTAAAAATGCTAAGTGAGGCCCTGTATGATAAAAATTATAGGGTCTATATGGATAATTATTTTACATCTTATTATCTTATGGATCTTATTTACATCTTAGTCTTTCAAGTTTTTAGAAAAGAAAAATGTATTTTGTTGGGTTACTGTAAATATAAAAAGAAAAAACTTTCCCAAAACGCTGATGGAAGACAAGAAATTAAAATGAGTTCAGTTTGACTAGGCAGTAAATGATGACAAAATAACTTGTCTAAAATGCAAAGACAAGAGATGTTTTACCATTTTCTCTAGCCTAGTTGATCACATTATTCCTTTTAGAAAAAAAAAAAAAAAAAAAAAACTAGACAGAAAGTTCAGATACAATGTCCAAAGGTAATTACAGATAATAATAAAGATAAGGGCTATGTAGATTACCTTGAACAATCTAAAAGGCTTTCATGAAATTGGCAGAAAAAGTAAATAATGGTCGCATCGAACCGTTTTTCATTTAATCGATGTCACCATTATAAACGCCTTCATCATTGAACGCTTTTAAAAAGTGATCCCAGTTTAAAAATACTCAAGTTTTTCAGAATAGATATAATCAGCAGTATGATTCGAATGGGAAACGAAGGATCCATACCAAAGAGAAAAAGACTAAACTCTCTATTAACATAAAAAAAATCACAAACTTCAGGTATCAGGTGAAAAGAGACTAAACAATGCAGAACATATGCCAGTAAAATGCAAATCCCTGCAGTGTACATTTTGTAACACAAGGGATAAACCTCATAGAAGAAGATACATGTGCGAAATTTACAATGTTAGTCTATGCATGTTTAAGGTGACCAGATTTTAACATTGGTATAACGGGATACCATTTACTGGGGAGGGATTCTTGATTAAAAATTTGGTCTATATGGAGTAACACAAATTTTCATAGAGCGCAAAAATAGTATATTTTTTTAATATATTTTTTAAACTTCAACATAAGTACAATTTACAAATATATTACATTAAAAAATTATGTATAGCATTATTTCATTTTTTGGCATATTTTGCATTTGAGAGAATTCTTTTAATAGACTGCTGTCATTTTTTGTTGAATAACTTTTGGACAACTTGTGATATACAAGATCTGAAGGAATGTTTGTGATTATTAGCATTAAAAGACATAAGTCCTTCTGCTAATGCTGATTTCTTTTCTTTGTGTCCATAAATTGTTTTCCGAAAGAATTCCTGCATTTTGGAGGAAGATGCAGTAGTATTTAAATATCCTTTGTCCCTAAGTGCTTTGAAATATCATTCTTCCAGCCGGGCGAAATAGAAAATTCACCATTACATTTCTCACATTTTACCATGAAATCGCTTTTGTTCTTTTTAACAAAAGGAAATTCACTTCTTAGATCCTCTTTGAATTTGCTTCTTCTGTTCTTACTCATTATGTTAAAAATCTAAAGAAGTAATTTATTATAAATTTATAAATTATATTATAAATTTTTATCTATATATATTGCTTAAAAACACAAGTAAGTAGGTATATAATTACATGAACATATTTTTATTAATTATTTAAAAATTAAATTAATTTGTTTGTTATAAAGTAACTATATTTTAAAAATTATTTTAATTTTAATCCTACATTTTTTTTAGTAATAACAATACTAACTTGTATTATTTTTCCTCTGAATTTGCCGTAACGTAAGTCATAAGCGTCACTTTCGAGGCCGACGCTAGACCTTTTTCCGCCACTATAAAATATAAATATAAAAGTATTGTCGGCTAAATTCAAGAAGATTTATGCGTTTATGAAATAAATAAATTATGTATCTAAATTATCTGAATAGCTGATTTGTTGACATCACTTGTTTTGTCTCTACAGAACAATGATCCTTTTGACTTTAAGGCAAAGCATCAGCGAAGATATTATCTTGATTCACTCTCACACACAGTACATTGTATTGAGCACACAGTACGATGTGTATCCTCTGAGAGACAGTTACAAAATGTTTTCGTTATTGCCAAAGCCAATATGTCCAAACAATAGTGATGGAATTCTAACAACTGATCAACAATACGAACTTTGATAAGCAGTTCTCGATAATCAGTTGTCAACAATTATTTGTTACTATTAAAATTTAACATTATAAAATTAACAAAAATAATATAAGACTCATATCCTGGCAAAGTAGCCACATGGCCGCCGAAAACCGTATTCTCCCGCCATTCCCTGGCTTGTTGTGCATTCTTTCCAAAAATCGGGTCTTTTAAAACGACACAGAATGCAGGACAAATTGTTAAAAATCGGGACTGTCCCGCCAAAAGCGGCATCTGGTCACCTTATGCATGTACCAAAAAGACAAAACATTCTTTGAACAGTTTCACAAAAAATAACTTTGTTCTTTGACATAAAAAAAAGTTAATTAAAAAAATGAGTTTTTTTAACTATTTATCTAAACATCATTATTATTATTTATCCAAACATTTCTATGTTTTCACTGCTATAGAAAGATTACATAAATGTTTATTTTTTCATTTTTTATGTTGTTATGATGATTTACTTGGTAAAATAATGCATAATATATAAAATTGTATAATATATACAAAATTATATATTATGCAATTCTTTAATACAATTTTTTTTTAATTTGCAAATTCTGTCATTTATTGGAAATGCACATGGAAAGAAGTAAGTTTTTCCCCTACTACCTCAGTAAGTTTCAAAGTCCTACGCTGGTTTCACAGTGCAACCACCACCCACAGATCAATGGGCAAGAGTAAATTTCTTTTAATTCATATACTATTTGTCTCTAGAATAATAATATTCAATTTCTAGAGTTTTTTTAGTCAAAAAAATATAAAAACAATATCAACTACATCAAAGTGTTAATATGCAAACTGAAGACATAAAAGGAAAAAAAGATGAAATGACCAACAATAAAATTTTTTAAATATCTAAATATTCTATCCACTACATTTTGCAGTTATACATTTCAATTATAAACTGTGACCATAATCTGTTTAATTTAATGCATTTCTAATAATCCATGTAGCTTAGAGATTGCAGCAAATTTCTGAACAGCAATTTAAAAGTGTGCTTAAATTTTTTTCTACTAGTTTAAGATGTTCAAGTCTGCTTCATATTAAGATACAATAACATGCCGAACAAGTATTAATTTAGAAGTGAAACAACAAAAGTCAGCGTTATATTTTAAAATTTTCACAGGACTAGTTTTGATGGCTTTGCCAAACCATCACACTCAGCTGCAAAAGCACAAATGAACGAAGTAAGATATAGTGATTAAATAAGATAAGATACGAAAGACTAGACAGGAGTTAAGCTACTGGCACCATCTGTTGATGAAACTGATATCTCTTTCATCAACAAATGGCACCAGTAGCTTAACTCCTGTCTAGTCTTTCTTATCTTATCTAATGACTGTATCTTACTTCATTTATTTGCGCTTTTGCAGCTGAGGATGATGGTTCAGTAAAATCATTGAAACTAGTCCTGTGAAAATTTGAAAACATAATGCTGATTTTTGTTGTTTGACTTCTAAATTAATCTGCTTCATATGCAAAGAATTCTAAACTATTTTATTATTACACATACAATTTGATAATAACTACACAAACATAATGATTACATGTTTATGAAACAATGAAACTGTTTTTTCCCCTCTTTCACATATTTCATTATGCTTTATTATAAATCTAATTATCAGCAATGTATGTTAGTTTTTATGTAATATATGAAGTAATCAATCTATTTTTTCTTTTATGTAAATGAGTGATAAAATATATATATGTATAGATTTCACAATTAATTTTACCCTTACATTTTACAATTAATTACTTTTCCCTGTTAATTTTATTTTTTTTTTAATTTATAATTTTTATTCATTTTTTATATTTTACATTTTTTTTTTTTTAATCACCATTACTTTCTTTAAACCTCCTGTTTATTATTACTGTTATTTACAATGTATTTTAAAAATTAAGCTCTGAAAAATAAAGGCACTGAAATTTTGCAAATTATGCTTGTTAAGAGACTAATGGATATATCCTATTGGATACAAATCACGTCATTTGCTGTGACTGCTCTGACTGGCTTGGTAGCTCACAGCAACTTAGATACAAAAGCAGCCTTGTAGACAAAATGCTGTCAGTTGGTAAGTCTGCAAGGGAAATTTTACTGTGTCACACAGCAATGTTGTCTCCTCGTACAGATGGGTCTTTACATTTAATGAAACAAATATATCTTTAATAGCACTTCATATAATTAATAAGTTACCTTCTCGATTAAGAATAAAAACCAATTTTCCAGTAAGAGCTTGGGCATATTTCCTTTCTTTAAGAGTTTCTAAAACAAGATTTTCTTGATGCCTCTGAAAATGAAGATTGAAGGCTAGTATAATGCTTAATAAATTCTGTCCCATATCTTCCTCACCTTCTTTGACACATTCTTCAAGGTTTTCAAATAAGAAATGCATAAATTTCTTGTTTATAAATTCTAAAAGAATAATGTAATGGAAATGAGAAATTATTAGACAACAACAAAAGAAAAAATGCATTTTGTCAATCTGTATATATGTAAGATACTTAATAAGACACGTAAGGTTATAAAATAATGAATAAGAAAAACAGTGTATGATAACAGCCATATGGTAAACAAAACATGCATTTTGTCTGTCTGTATATATGCAATATACACTCTTTTGCAAAAAAAAATCGAAGCACCAAGAAGGACTTTTATGATCGTGACGAAATTTGGTATGCAAAAAGATCATATTTGAACATGCAAAATTTATCTTTTTTTTATTGCTGCCATTGTAATTCCATTCCCGCAACTAAAGATGCCATTACGACGATATCGAACACCTTACAGACAACTAAACGACTCAACAGGCCCCCACCTGCAATGCACAGACACTGCTGTGCAAAGATGTTGGCAGCAATGGTTGCTACAAGGAAATTGTCGACGAAATGAAGGCTCTGGAAGGCCAAGAAGCACAAATGTGAGGCAAGATAGGATGATTGTTCGCCAGGCCCGAACTGCCCCAACAGTATCATCTATTCAACGCACTACAGCCACGTCTATACCTCCCGTGGTACCATCCACCATCTCAAGGCACGTGTCTGGGGTGGTATTACGCTCACAGAGGCCTTTAAGACATTTGCATTTGACTCTACAACATCAACAGAGTCGTCTGGAATGGTATTGCAGCCAATCATCATGGCTGCCATCATATAGTGTTCAGCGATGAATTCCGCTTCACTCTTGAAGCAGATGACCACCGTGTTCGTGTCTGGAGAGGATGGGGCCAGCTGTCACAATCAACCTTTGTTTTACAAAGGCATACAGCCATGATGATGAGGTGATAGTGATGGTGTGGGGTGCTATTTCTTATGACAGCAGGTCATCTTTAGTCATCCTCCATTCATCTTTAACAGATCAACGATATGTTGATAGCATCCTGCGGCCGGTTGCATTACCCTTCATGGCACATCGTCCTGCAGCCATTTTCCAACAAGATAATGCCAGGCCACATACCACTTGCAAATTTCTGGACTGTCTCCATGCGGCTGATACTCTTCTTTGGCCAGCAAGGTCACCAGACTTTTCCCACTGGGATATGGTAGAATGCCAGATTTGGGCACCACAAAATATCACAGATCTGGGGAGACATCTAATGAATACCTGGCAGTATGTGTCGCAGGATGACATTAGGAACCTCTACCACTCCTTGTCTCGATGAATTCAAGCATGCATTGCAGCCAGGGTCGATTGGACCAACTACTAATTTGAACACTCAATGGGTGATTGTGAGATGTGAACAGGTATTATGACCTTGATTTTTTAAATCATATTATTATGTGTGTATGAGCTATACACATATTCAATTTCATCAAAAACAACCACTTCCTTCACGGTGCTTCGATTTTTTTGCAAAAGAGTGTATATGCTAAATAATGAAAAAGGTACTAGTAGAATTAAATATAGACTCATATTTTTAAACAAAATGAATAAAATACCAGTAATATGTACAACAAAAATACTATAAAGATTATGCATTATTAATTTGAACAAAGAAGGTAAAAGGCACAGTTTGGCTTGCAGCAAGCAATAAGGCAATTATATGCACATGTAAAAGTAAACAGAAGTTAAAAGTATTTAAGGTAACTTCCTTTATCCAGTACAAGTGAATGAAAAAGAACAGTTTGTGGAAATATAGATAAAAAATACAGTTAGATATAAAAACTACAAATAATTAGGCAAATATTAAAATGAAATTGTGAAGGAGTTAAATTATCAAAGTGAAAAGTCAAATCACATACCAATACATCAAAATAATAATAAAAATAATTTTGAAGGTGACAGTCACTTGGTTCACTGTCTAACTTCATGATTTCTGAATCAGTTTCCTAAATTCTCATCTCCTCATAAATTAGCACTTTTCCACGATCTTTCTTAGATAATGTCAGTATGCATTTATTTTAAATACTTTTTTATTCGAAATACAGTTACTGTACAGAAAGTTGTGTTCAAAAGCCCAGGCAGGGACAAAAAGGAAGACATGCATACAACAAGATCCATAAAGAACATAAATATACCATAAATATACCATAAAGAAGTACAAACAGAAAAATTCAAAAGTTCATCAAGCAGTTCTGCATCTCTCAATATTAGAAAGGCAGCAAATCCTTATCCCTTATTCTTATCCTTATGAGATGGAGGTTACTGAATAACCTAAGCTTGCTTAAAATCCCACTTTGTCAAGATGTTTTATAGCTATTTAGAATTCTCCGATGAGTGATGCAGATAGCAGATTGGTTATTAAAACTGGTTATTAGGTGCCCTTCTTTGGAAGGGCACTTGCACCTTCATTACCAGAGATATCACACTCAGAAGAACTCCATTCAAATACAATTTTTCTGTGATATTCAGAGAGATGGTATAAGAAATTCCAACATTCTTCAACTTCCTGACTAATTGCTGGTCTGTGCTGAGTTGCAAAAGGTAGAAAGGTGCCTTAAATTTAGAAACGATCACTATTTTTTTTTTCCAATGGCAGATTGTGAACAATTACAAATGTAACCCAGTCCATTAATCGGCCTTTCCTATAAATGAACGGATAGTTACAACCATGCCTTTTCTGGGATTCGAACCCAGGCTCTCCGGCATCGCAGTCAACTTCCCTGATCACTATACCGACTGGGCGGCACAATCACTGTCTTTGGAAGCAGATTATCAACAGTAAGCATGCATTGCAAACTATCATAGCATCAATAACAATTATGTGCATATATATCCTTTATTTCACCCTCCCCCCCCCCAAAAAAAAGTTTTGATTAGGCCAAGGGGTAAATAATGGGAGATGAAAGAATACTTCAGAGTTTTCAGTCCTGTCATTGTGAAACCCATCAATATAAACATGCAGCTGAGAAAATATTTTCTTACAATAGTAGCCATTACCACAGTATAAAGCTAATATCAGATATAGAAATCAACTAAGAAATATCAAGATAAAAAGCAGAATATCTCATTTCAGTAGGATTTGAACAAAAATAAAATATCTGGAGAAAATTTTAAGCAGAATCTTTGCCTTTTCTTTGAAAGTCCTTTTGGGTCTTAAATCCATGTTCCTGTTGTAACTATGTCTATGTGGTCCTGTGGTAAACAGTGCTACACACTGTTTCAAAAAATCAACAAAACAAAGACTTGCAGATTTCCCAATACAGTCTCATGGTACGTAGACAAATTTCCTTTATATGGACTTCACAGAACAAATTACATCAATTTCATAAGATAATTTGATAAAAGGAGGGCTATAACATTATTTTAAAAAATATATATTTTCTCAACACATATTCGATAGATCCAGGTTCGAGTCCCAGGGAGGGCACTGCTCATTTTTCATGTCTCCTGCTTCAAAATAATCCTAATGAATCTACTGTGGTGCCTGAACTAAAAGGTGGTAGATGATGACTCTTCACCACCAGGATTTGGCAATTGGGTCCTTTAATCCCAAGTCACTCTTTAAAAAGGGGATTATATAAGGTATTTTCTTCCTCCTTTCTGTATGACTTTGTGGTGTAATGGTAACAGACTCAGAGCATATTTGAGAGATCCAGGTTAGAGTACTGGTGAAGTCATTGCTCATTTTTCATGTCTCCTTTCCAAAATAACCTAATAACTCTACAAATACTTATTTCCAAGAGCACTGAAGATTGTGCATAGCCCCATCTGTTGCCAGACAGTCTTTTAAACAATGTTACTTGACTAGAACTTTTGTCTTTCAGATCATGTACATGAGATTACTTAATATATTAATCAAGCTTGTGCATGAAAGCAGTGGAAGCTTCCATTAACAAGTAGATAATCAAAGATGTTGTTTTCATCTACTGCAATTACTGCAGTAGGTGAACAATATCTTTGATTACCTACTTGTTGAAATAAGGTGACTATCTTGATCACAATCTTACTAAGATGTATATGTAAGATATGTATTAGCTATTTCCACAAGATTACAAACATCATTTTTTATGCAAGGGCACTTTTATAATAGAGATCATTAAAACCTACATTGCCAAAATCCTACATGCTCCCAGATAAAAAGATGACCATTTAAAATGAATAAATTTTCACATCAACTTAAACAAAGACTTATAAAAAATGAATTGTGAATTTTATAGATAAGTCCAGAATCACTTTACATAGGGGCTGCAGACATACTCCAAAATGCAAAGTAAAGAATATAGTATCACATTTATTAATGTCCATGGTAAAGGGTCTTTTGGTGACAAGTATCATAGTTTAGGATGGCATCACATGTCACACATACACATCTAATCAAATAAAAAATTATACTTCAAAACTAATAGAAAAATACATGATGTCCTTACCATATGTACCATTTGGTGGTTGCTCTCCAGTACTAAACACAACGGTCAATAAATAAGCTGAAAACTGTACCTTCTCTTGATCTGGAAAAGAGGGAAAATAAAACAAACTTGTGAGGTTCCTTTAATTTGAAGAACCAGTTATTTTATGTTTTGAATCTGTACTGTCACTTTTCTCTTTCCATTTTCTCATTAGAATACAAACTAGTTTGTGTGTATTGAGGTAAGAGTTCCTGTCTTCAGCCTTGAATATAATTGCTAATACTCAGAATCCACACTGGTGAAGTTCTGAACCAATTTAGCACAAATTGTTCTGTGTAGCTTTTGGCTATTAGTTTATTTATATTTGACTTACTAATTTCGAGTTTCTCACCATAAATGCTGACAGAAATGTAAGCACCAGAAGTGCATTTTGTTAATCTATTTTAGTTTTAAATAAAAGGTCTTTTACACCCTTCTCAAATCTCTGTGGTACTAGAATTAGCAATAAGTCACTTAACGCCTACATAGAGTTTAACGATAGATGATAGCCAAGAAAGTTGAACTTTACAAACTATTACACAAAGCTATAATATTTACTCAAGAAATTTAGAAGTATATTAACAATATGTGTGTGTACAGAGGCTGATTGCACACTTTTTTGATGATTTTGCTTTCCTGTTAAAAAAAAACAATTGTTTGGAAATAATTTTTTAATTGCAACTATATTTTTTTAAAACTATAAATTATCTTCTTCTACTTGGTGGTTTTTTTCATGTAGAATAGTGCTTTTAAAGAAGCAATTAATGGAAGGCTATGCTCATGCTCTTTCTGAAGAATATTATTCGTATCTACTTAAAATGCTTAAAAAATGCTGCAAAAGCCATGGTTTTTCTATATATAAAATTATAATATGTAATATATATTAAATTATACTGTCAACAAGAAAGGAAAATACGTCAAAGTTTGGCTTAGAAGAGAAAAATTGTTCCAAGCACAAATCCAAGGGAAAAAAAAAAGAATGTTCTGAATATTGCAAAGGTAAGATTCTTAGTCAATGCCAACTGGAAACTAATTAATACCTATTTGAATCTCCAAATAGCGAAAAAACATAATGCGCATCATCTTTCTCCACGACATATCACTGAAAGCAGAACACGCAGCAGAATTTTTTACGAAAAACATTTATTTGGACAAAAACAGAAAATGGTGCCATAACAGATGAATCTTGGATGTATTTAAATGATTATAATAAAAAGAAATTCATATATTATCATCAAAGAGGAGAAAAAATCTTAAGAAATGATTCAAAAAATCTAAAGAAAGTTTTTCAAAGGAACTTATGATTGTTGCTAGTTTTTCATATAGCAGCAAATTGAAAATAAAAGAGTGTGGACAAAAATTCCAAATGGCGAAAAAACATAAAGTGCATCGTCTTTCTCCACGACATATCACCGAAAGCAGAACACACAGAACTCTTTATGAAAAACATTTATTTGGACAGAAACAGAAAATGGAGTCATAACAGATGAATCTTGGATGTATTTAAATAATTACAATAAAAAGAAATTCACATATTATTATCAAAGAGATATTAAGAAATGGTTTTCAAATAATCTAGAGAAAGCGTTTCAAAGAAATTTATGATTGTTGCTGGTTTTTCATATAACAGCAAATTGAAAATAAAGAGTGTGGACAAAAATTTTAAAATCAATTCCACATATTATCAGGAACATATTTTACACCCAATTTTCCAATATGAAATACCATCTGTTTACCCACAATGCCATTATTCAGCAGAACTGTGTCAATACAAAGAAAGCAGCATACGTCAAAATCCACTGGAAAATTCTTGGAAATTAAACAAGTATCAAGGTTCACTCATATCCCTACTAAATCACCTGATAATTATTTCATGTTTTTGGACTTTTAAAAAGTGGCACTGAACAGTTAGATCAGTGAAATAACTTACATCTATTTTTATGTAGATACTTAGATACTAAACATGTATTACACAATACTAAACATGTACTTTTCACAAAGATTATGATTTTTTTTAAAAAAAACTAAGACTGTTATGGCACAGCTGACAACCTTGATATCTGAAAACCTGGATGGCAATGCTTCATGCTACATGATGATCCCACTTCAAAAAATCCAAACTAATCAAAATTTACTTTGTAATGCATGATTTGGGCTATTGAACCAGTTATTATTATTCACACATATAAATTATTTTATATAATATTATTTTATACACATAAAATATAATATTACACATAAAATGTAATATTATTAAATATTATTCACACATAAAAATATTAGTATATGTAAAATATATTAGTACACATAAATATATTAGTATATTTTATGTGAATATTATATGTGTGAAATATTAATACTTTATATTTTTATGTGTGAAATATATTAGTATTTATTAGATATTTTGAATTTTATGTTCTCCATCTAATTTCATTTCTATTTTTCTAACACTTTTATGCTGAGAAAATCCTGAATAGGGAAGAAAAGCTCTTATTTATCCAAGTACTTATGATGAAAATAAAATTGATAACTAATGTATATTATTAATTGTATTTAACAAATATTCTCTATTTGCATAAAGCAAATATAAAATTCTCCATTCTAATAAAGCAAATTAATGTACTCTGTGGATAAACTTAATAATATGCTATATATTGATGGAGAACAAAATTAATCACAACATTAACTGATCAAACACTGGTTGAATCTTCTATAAATGTATGTAGTAGCTTGGCTGTAATAGAAAAAATTATGCTAAAAATCTGTTCAAGTCGCAGAATGGATCTGCATAACATATATCTCATTAAGTCAATAAATTTCAGTTATTATTGGGAAATATTTTCCTTAGTAAGGGATAAAAGTTCAAAATATAGAGATTCAGTGACCAACCAGGATACCAGGAGATCCAATGAAAAACCAGTGAGCAGGTAGTTATATTATGCCCTATTTTAAAATATATCATGCTGAATTAAAATATTAACTTGCACCCAGAAATTTTGAGATTTGTAAGGATGTAAACTGACTATCTATGTAAATAACATATTACTAGTAGCTAGTAAAAATAGCTAACATTAAAGGAGTAAAGATTACTTTTATATTTCTCTACATTTACTTTGTGTTTGGTCAATAAATGATTTTTCACATATATTTTGTCTAAAAATGAAATTTCTAAAATGAAAAATAATCAAATTTTGAAATTATTGAGATTAGAAATGGTTATTCAGATGAGAGATGGTACTAAAATTCCTCAGCTGAAAAGTAGTTAACAATGTTGCTTAGTAAATGTTTTGCCTAACTACTTAACAGCATTGCCCAAGCACCGTATGGATGCCATGAAAGGGGGCTTCCCTGATTTGCCCAAATGCCACTCGGGAAGTACATTTTCTTACACCAATCTGCTGATTTGCATGGCTTTTTTCACTTTTTTTACTTTGAAGTGTTTCTACTAAATATCTCTAGTAGTCCAGGACAGATGATAGTAAAACAGTTCAAGGGCAGGTTTTACTGCTTCAAATGATAGCAGAAAATGTGTTAGGAAAGAAATCAGATATTTTTGTTCCAATTATAATATTGTACTCTAATCATACCAAAGCTGAATCTTTAACATGTTTAAAAAAAAAATATGTTTTTCCCCAACATTTATCCTCTGTAAAGTGCTCTTTCCAGTTAAAAATTATCTTAAATTAATGAATGCAATATTTGAAACAGTTTTAACTGCTGATTTGAATTTGTGCAATATATTTTAACATAAAATTATTTATAAAAAGTATGCTTATTTTTGGTCACAATATGGCAAAAATTAAAAGCTGTAAATGGTTAAAGAGTAATTTTTATTTATTTAAAGAAATGTTCAGCTAAAAAACTAATTAGAAATATTTCAGTTCCATATTTTGTTTCCCAGTATCATCAAAAAGTTTATTACAGCAGATAAATGTATTTTAGAGTTGCACTGACGTCATAATTCAATTTTTAAACCAGACAAATTTTAAATAGGGATTAGAAGGTTTCCTTCAGTTTATTTTTATGCAACTATAACACAATGAGTGCCGTTCACATGTGAAATAGCAAATTTTCTACAAGTTTCTAAAGTTCTTTGAATTGCATTATTTATTTTTATTATTTTGGAGTTTCATAATCTGCAGTAAGTCCACTAACTATCAATGATAACATATCAACATTTTTTTAATTTATTCTACCTCTATTATGTTTCATACAAGTTAAAATGTTCATAACAATTCATTAGCCTAAAAAAATAAATAAAACATATTTATATTAAAAATTTAAATGAAACAATATGCACCTTCAAAATTATCTTGAATATCCCTAGCAAGTTCCATAGGCAAAACAGAGTTTACAATATGAGTTACAACAACCAAGTCTAATTCACAAAGTGTCAGGAACACATGAAGCATTTTGACTCTTAACGTTCTTCTTGGTTCCTTATTTCAAAAAGAAAAAAAGTAAAAAATTAGAATACCACAACTAGTTCATTTTAGTACATATGATTAAATACTATGAATGGAACTATGCAATGATTTTATCTGATAAACTTCATTTTTTTTTTAAGTTAAAATTTTAGCCAGAAAAATAGTTAAAGAAATGTATGTAACAACATAATCACCACCAAGATTTTAAAAGATAAGTTTATTGAAACTGTTACTAAATATTTCAAATATGTCATTCCTATAAAGTGAAGTGTAGACAAATTCTAGGAAATCTTTATTTAGAAGCACCACACAGCATCTGATATTAAAGCAAAAAATAAATTTATACAAAATACCACATATTAAACATAATCCAAGCAACATGATTCCATAAATTTATTTTGAACAGCAAGCATAATAAGGAATAGCAACATCTGCACAATAATATTAGAGGTAATTTGTATATTTTTTATTATACTTTATGTTTTTAAACAGAAACAACATTACTAAAAGAGGTTACAGAAGTTATTAAAAATTTAACTTATCTTTATTTTTAAGCATATTTCCTAGACTTGTAAATCTTTTATGAGTACTTTTTTCTATTTGTTGATAAATATCTATCATTCATCAATGTAAAAGACTTGTATCACTTTTAAAAAATTTTGTTAACTCCTCATCTCATGAAAATTAGGCAGGTATAGAAAAAACATATGGAGGGTAGCTGATACACAAAAATTACTAAAGGGGTCTCCACTTAATGTGCTTCTTTATATCAATCATATCCCCCCCCCAATGACAGGCACTTGCCTATAACGGCATTGGCCACTACAAAGGCCAGAAGTGGTGGCCATTTTGTTATGGAGGCACCTAATAGGTGGCCACCGTTACCTCCTATGAGAGGACAGACAATTTTACATCCATGCCTTCTCAAGAATTTGAACCCGGGCCCTCCGTTATCACAGTCAGGCTTCCCAAACCACTACATCGTCTGGGGGGGAAATCAATCATATTATAATGTTTAAAAAAATTTACAACACACATGGGGAAAATAGTGGAAATACCCTTGACATCAGCATAATGTAGCATTAGACGCTGAACACAGGAGAAAAATAACCATTTTAAAAGCAAAAATATATAAATAAATCCTGGCATGTTAAGAAAAGTGCAAAGTTTAAACAAAGCCTACAAAACTCATTTATGATTAAGTGGTAATTTTTTATCATTCCCAGAATAATATGAAATACTTGTACAATGCAAAGTTTGAAATCTAGATTCGTCAAGACTTCAGCGATTCTGGATATTAGATATAGTTTAAATTTAGTAAGGTGATGAGTAGAAATTATATAATTAAAAATATGAAATAGTAATTTATGAAATAATGAGCATTTATGAACTTAAAATTTACAAATAAATAATTAGCTTAATATTAGTTTGCTTTATTAAATATTTCTTTCAGTGTAAGTTGTTTAACTCGCTTTGTTTTTTGTGCTAATACTTCCTTTGTTTTTCTAGAGGTAGACATGAATTCTTGTTTAGTTCAAAGTTCCATTGTCCAAATCCTATAATTGTCTTCTGATTATTTCCACCAAATTGTCAATAATTTTTTCATTCTCAACAATCAATCTTTCACCGGTAGTAATATTTTCTGGCTTTTGAACTATACTACAGATTTTGCCTTCTGTTAGTTGACTGATGACTAGGGCATTGTCATAGCAATGAGAAACTTTCATTATAGCATCTTCATTCATTACCACTTCTTCACAAATTCCATTAATTATGAACTTTCACTTTTTGTCTACAATATCTGAAAATCTTCAAATTTGTGGCTCTCATCACACAGCTTAACTAGCATTTGCTGCATTCTATAGGCGATGTATCATGAGATTGGTGTACAAGGACGTGTTCCACTAAATTTTTTTCTTCCTTCTCTCGCACACTGATAAAGTTAAGCATGAATTATATAAGTTTAATTATTTATTATACTTAAGACTATTTCTCATACATGCTTAAGACTTAGTAAAGTCCTGAATAAATTCCCACATATACTTAAGGCTTATCCAGGGTCAACCCTAGACATTTTGTGGCCTAGTGCAGTCTCTGTAAGGTTGAAATTCTGCTGTCAAGTGCCTTTGTAAATTTTAAAGTTTTGTTGTCCCATAATTTCGTTGCTTAGTGCTTCTCTAAATTTTCATATTTTTGCCTTCCCTGAATTCTGTTGTGCGATGCAACTGCACCAGCTCTGGTACAGGTTCTATGCTTAATAAGAAATCAGCTATCCTCAATTGAAACAACACTAAATGTTATCTTTTGGCCTATGAGTATCATATACGTTTTTTTTTTTTTTTTTTTTTTTTTTTTGTGGAGCGAGCATATGCAAAGAAATATTGTTAAATTTCTCCTCATCAATACACTCAACACTTTAGATTAAGTCTGGAATCATCACCATGTGTAATGTCAAAAGGTCACCATCCTCTTTGTTATTCAATTATCAATATTAAACTTTAAAAAAAATCACTGCATGAGTCATCTCTCAATCTGCAGTATTGTTGATAGTCATGCGGTATGAAAGCAAAAAATTAATAAATAATCATTCACCAGGTTGGCATCAATGCAAAAGAAAAATTAAGAACTGGGACTTTCCATGCTTTATATGAAAAAAATGTCAAATGTGCAAGCATATAGCATACTTTTTCCCCCCTAAGTTACTGGTAAGTTGGAAGTCCGGATTTTAGATCATTCCAGGTGTTGGATATATGGATTTCGGACTTCGTAACTGTATAATTCTTTAATTTATTCCCAAACATCTTTTAGTCTACTAGCAAAATAAATTAAGATGCCAGTTTAAAATACAGCACTTCCTTTTCCTGAATTAGTAGGATTTATGGGATCCTGAATATCACAACATGCATTGAAATTTAGAATGACATTATTATACTACTTAAAGGTACTTACATATTACCCCATCAATTATGAAATTTGCCAACCATCAAACCATGAATGTTGATAGAGATTTACACCAAAGTTACACAAACGATTTTTGTGGAATTCTGAGCTGCATTTAAATCTGCAATTCTTATATCAAACATTTGTCAGTCTTTCTGCATAATCTGTTAAATAGCTTTTGCTGCTGTAGAATTCAAACCACTTTGTTTTTGCACTTCTTAAAAAACTTTCATTGATTTTTACTATTTTCTTATGCTATTCAATTTTACTGAAAGCTCTGTTTAGAATGCCATGTGTACAGATCTCCTGCAGATGTTTATTCCAATATATTAACGTTTTGTTGGCCATATTATACAGTTGTTTTTTCAACCTTTCAACACAGGCTAATTCTTTTGACTAGCTGTAAATGAACCAAAGTGCAGTCACAAATGTGATTCTACAACTCTGAAACTCATTTTTTCAAAATGCACTGAAAATATGCAGCAATAAAATTTATTTATATCCTTGTTCAATAAAACTAAAGGTGGCTTAATGAGAATCAATTCAAGTTCCATCAAATGAAAATACAGATGTTATAAATGTGAAGTGAAGTGACAATTACACACAACTGATGCTAAATCGTACTGCTTGGCGACAGTTGATGGCACAATGCAGAAGTAACTTTTATATGCATATTTAAATATAGATATAGTGTGACTAGCAAAGCAATCAATATATGACAGCATTAGTGAATAATCTCAAAATTAAAGAAAGAAGACTAAATATTCCTGATGAATCAAGTAGTGGGAGGCCATCTGTAGTGAATGATTCTCATCAAACAAATTGACAACAAAATCTGTCAGAACTGTCGATTCATAATCTTGGTCTTCATAATCTTTTACAACAATTTTCAGACTGTTTTGTACGAGATAAGTCATTGGAAAATTAGGCCAGCAGAAATTCTGTGCTTGGTAGCACCGAAAATTCTCACATAGATCCATAGAACCAATCGAATGGATGCTACCTTAGATCTTATTTTCTCGCCACCACATGGAGAGGGAGGAGTTTTGAAACAGAACAGTAACTGGAGATGAGATTTAGGACGTGCATGTGAATGCTGAGCCAAAACAACAATCAATGGCAGGGAGCATACTGGTTCTCCAACCCGGCTAATGAAAGCCTCTCAAACTTTGTCAGTGAGGAAGTTTATGGTCGCCGTATTTTGGGGTGCTAATGCAATCTTCCTTGTTAAATTCATGGAACATGGTATGGCAATCAATTCCGAATTGTACACACAATTCTGAAGTACACTTTGAGAAAAGTGAAAACAGGCTTCTAGAACAAATGTCATGCCTGCTGACATCTGGGGTTGTGTTTCTGCACAATAACGCTCATGCTCACAGTGCTCAGCAAACACAAGATTTTTTGTGCCAGTTCAAATGGAAAATGTTTCAGCATTTCCCTACAGCTCAGACTTGGCTCCTTCTGATTACAAATCTGTTCCCTGAAATGAAGAAGAATCTTGGTTTAGGACACATCACTTTGTTGACGATGAGGAACTTCAAACTACTGTGACAAGTCAGTTGAAGTCGCAGGCAGCTGAGTTTTATGCAGAAGGGATTGGTAAGTTAATAAAACACTATGACAAGTACTTGAATGTACATGGTTACTAGGACAATTGTACTTTTCAGATGTAAATAAAAAATTCATTGTATTATTCATTTTATTCATTTCAGATGTAAATAAAACCTTCTATGCATGTTTTTTATTTACTGCAAAATGAGGGTTAATTTCCTTATTGCCCTCATATAATAAAAATCATTAACATAATTTATATATTAATAAAAAAAATAAATAATATTGCTGCAAGGTATGGAATTTTTGATATTTTTCTGAATGATAAGTCTAGACAAGCAAAAAGAAATGAATAATTTATTAGGAAAACAGGCAAAATATGCAGTACACATGGCATAATAATGGTTGGAAATAACTCAAAGAGAATATGGATATTCAGTACTTTTTCCTTAATACACGAAATAAATTGCAAAACTCTTCAAATTACTCTCAGGTTAAACAATATATTTCACAGCTGATCTACAACTGATTTACAACTGAGCTATGCAGCTCTCTGACTCATATTTAAACTCTGCAGCAGGGACTCAAAAAGCTTTTGGAAGAAACAGTCATAGGGCTAAAGCTGTGTTTTCACGAACATTCTAGAAAATCGCCAATTTAGTGACAGTAATTATTGCCATGGCCCCCCAGGAATGAACTGTCTATATCTCGAGTTCTAACTGACCTATTTTAAAATCCCAATAACACTGCAATCAGAGTTAAAAAATCTATAATTCTATGCCACAAATAAACACTTAAAAACGAGAGGTGACAACAAATTAAATTAAATCCAAATAAACCTTAAAAATTAATATAAAATGATACAAAATACTACAACAATACAGAAGATCAAAAATACAATAAAAAGTATTAAATTAATTACAGTATGTTATGTATTGAAAATAATAAAGTTTAAACTGACATGCATTTTTACGAATATACTAAACTATTTTTAATTTTGAATAGTATATGAAATAAACTACTTGAATTTAAAAAATAAATAAACTAATTAATACTCCTAGGGAAATAATGATTAAGAAAAATAGAATTAAAAACCAAAAAGAAAAGAAAAAATGACAGCCGCTGCATTTATCATTTACAGATCTTAGCTAGAAATAAATACATTATGGTTTTTTAGAGAAGATTTTATATACCATTTGATAATAAGTGACTAGCAGATTAACCATCTCGTAATCATCACGTTGAACTATTACTCGAGTCACTCGAGGATTGGCATCTAACTATAACAAAAATATCATATTTAGTAACAGGACTATAAAGCTGAACAATACTAGAAAGTACAGAAAAAAATTTTCCTTTTTAAGAGAATTTTACTTACTGCTTCTGTATAATAACAATCTCAAAAACCAGAAAATTTAATGTTAACACAACATACTTATAATAAAATGCCTGGCAGATTTTTTTATATACAAAAATACTAAACTACTTCAAATGTCTGCACTTCCTGTAAGTGAAAGAACAAGACAAAAATAAAAATACTCATTAATTTGAAGTACCTATGGGTAAAAAAAATTAAAAGTATTGAATTAATTTTACATCCTAATTCATTACAAATTTTACACATTCTTACACTACTACAAATACATCAACAGTTATCTCTCTGTATTAAATACCTACAAAACTTACATATACCATAAAGGAAGAAGACTTTTGCAAAGAATCAATTAAATTTTACACAGTTTAATAAGAAAACTACTACCCTTTGATGTAAACCACATCTCTTTCAAGTTATATAACCAAGTAACCTTTTGCCCACAACCTTAAAATTAGCAGGAATCATGATTCTCTCACAAAAATGCCTTTTTTGAGTTTATGAATTAAAATACAATATTTGCCTATTATAAGATAATCATGCGATTTTAAGTATCTCACATGAAAAATAATATCTTGTTGCAGATTTTACCCTGACATGTTTTTTATTATAATAGCAGCAACTGGAAATTTAGTTTAAAAAAGACTGTACTCTTTAAAATGATAAAACACTTAACAAGGGTGAGGTATTATAGGAAGATGACTAAAGTGAAGAATTTCTTGTGAACAACTGATGAATCTTATTTACAGGATACAAATTAGAGATTATTTATAAGGAATGTCCATGAAAAAAAACCATGTAGCCACTCCATTACATCTTCATGAATGAAATCTGGGATACTATTACCACTATCAAAGGTACATTCAATCTATCAATCATAAACTATCAACTGCTTAACTATTGCTTTAAGAAATGAATGTAAGTAAATGAAACCAAAGGGTTTAGTAATGTTCCTTGGGATTTCTATATTATTTTGAAAAATAAGCTGTCTAATAATAATTTGCCATAAATATTTAAATAAATGCAGTTATTGTCCTTCACTGCTGTTAAAAAACTAGAATGATAACATTTCAAGCAAGCGTTTGATAATTATGGATCACACAGTTAAGTAAGCTTAGAATTCCCCATCCTTATTTCCTAATTGACATCATACAGTAGATGAATTCATTTTTGGTGTTGATTTCTGTGGGTCCTTGCAGGCATTATCCCACCATTTTTGTGGTATGCAACTACAGAAAACAAATAACATACATGAAATTTTGTTTTTTGTTGAAGAAAACTGTAATTTGAACCACTGTTGTGCTTCACCAAGACTTTAAAAATGATGCTTTGGGTAAATCACAAGTGTACAAATGGTTTTCCAGATTTAAAAATAGCACATGCAAACAAAGACTGTTGTGATTTAGAATTCATTTGACAGAGAGAAAGGGAGAAAAACCTTAAGACACTACATTACATTGCTATTGAAGAATAATCAGTGACTATTCACCAGATTTCTAAAGAAACTGTCTGCCAGTTGAGCAAAAACAGCACAGCACTTGTATCTCATTCATGCAACTCACAAACCTTTGTACTCAATGTAGTTTTCTTTTATTTCCACAGATTTAAAAAAAAAAAAAAAAAAAAAAAAAAAAAAAAAAAAAAAAAACTGAAAAAGCAATTAAATGTCATGGATGAGGTGGGAAAAACACTGCTTACCTGCATATTCTACGTTAAGAGTTCCAGAAATATTCCCAGGCTTTCAGCAGTGAGTAAAAATGCTGAAAGCTGGTGAAAACCACTTTGAAGTGGAATAAAATAAAGAACTGAAAATTATAATATCTTTAAAATGATTATGGTTATTTTCAGGTACCCTTTTGTATTGTGATAATTTATTTCAAATTCAAATGAATGTTTAGAACTTTTTTTTTTTTATTTTTACATAGGTTATAAATGAAAAATACCTAGTTCACAAAAGTAAGAAGCAAAGTATTATAACTTAATAAAATAAATGATATCTAAAATATCTTACTAATATATTATTCAGATCTACAAGTAAACTGCTAATATGATCTTCATCTTCATGCACTGGCCAGTTCCTTTGCTGCTCATCATTTTTGCAGTACCACAGTTGCTTAAATATGTCTAAAAGTTTTCTTTCATCTTCAGAACAAATGTTTCTGGAATCTTCCTATACATGATAAATTGGAATCGCTAAAGAATACAAAAATATAAAACAAATACATTCTTTAAAAAATATTTTCCAAACAGTTTTGGAAAATAAAAAACTAGAGACTAATTAAAAAAAATACAAGCTTAAATATTTTAACTCATTGGAAAAAATATTATAAATTTATATAAAATATTTTCACATATAAATGAGTCTACCTACTTTTTAACTACTTGGTTGATATTTAAAATAAGAAGAACTTTTATAGAAATGTTTTGGACTTATTAAAAAAATAAGAAAAGCATTTTTGCAGCAACATAAAAATTTAAAAGACAGTAGAATAGTTTACTTTCATTTTTATAAACCACCAATTTTAGAACTACATTTTTTCATAAACTATCTTGCTAATTCTCAGAGTTTATGCTTTTTTGATGCCACTACTATTTACACACTTTTGATTTTATAAATATTTTTTTGTAAAATCAAAAGTCCACTGTGTCAAATATTTTCCATCTCTGTAAACCTGCATACACTAGAAAAAAATAAAAAAAAGATATACTATGGGAGCATGCGATTCCACTTCTGAAAGTAAGATAAAAAATGGCAAAGTCATGAGAAAGAAATTATTTCCTAAAAATATGTCAATTTATTTTCAATAATTAGTCCCATTCTCTGAGACAAATCAACCAATAAATTACATCAATCTTCTTAATATATGTTTATATAAATATTGATGCCACTTCATCTATCTGAAACTTCTATATGGAATACAACTACAGGAATCACAGCTGTGTAGATATGTCTTAAATAAAAAGTATATTTCCAGTGCATGAACATCTCTTCCAGTCTAGATTTACATGAGCTCAAATGGCCAAGTGAACATGCAGACCATGCCAGCAGACAAACACTGGGTTGCATTAACACTAAGTCTTAAATAGCCATTAAGTTCTAAGTATTATCAAACACTCAAACTAGCAAAACTTTGAAAATTTACAGGCTACCCCACAGTAGACCACAGAATGATTGCTCTAAGTAGACTTAACCCCTCCTAAATTCCCAGAGAATTCTGAATTCCAATATACATTATTTATTGATAAATTCTAAATACCTACTTTTTAAATTTCAGCAGTTATTTGAAGTGAAGATAATACCATCTGCACAACAAAATATTAGCTTCAAATATTACCCAAAAAACAAAACATCCAATATTCTTTCAAATTTGTCCACCAAAAGTAATATTACTCCATAAAACCTAAGCAGCTGACATATGAGAATACTTCATCCAGCTCAAAAAAAATATTATGCATTCTATGCTAATTAGTCTATTATCCTTGGTTCAGCATGAAACTTAGAACTTTCAACTCTTGCAGTATAACCATTTATCTCCAGTTGTGTCATAATGATAAAGTTCATTATAAATTCTGCTTATAGCTCTTGTGACAGTCATCCCATGGTATGAATGCTATCTTTTATATCACAGGAAGTAAAAATGAACCGAGATGGTGGTATACATAATCCTCGATACAAGTGGGTACTAAACTTAATCACAAATCAAATGTTATAACATCACATTTGTGAAAAATTAGTGTGAATCATATATGATGTTCTCATATACATGGTTAAGATTAATGAACACCATTTCTTCTTTAGATATATCCAAGCGCATTCAACTTTCATCACTGAATATTATAGTATAACATTCTCTTTACCAGTGACATACCAAACATACCATTCCTATAATGTTAACAGCAGTAATCTTGCTAATGGCACACATGATCTAAATATTATTTCCAAGAGGTGATTCTTCCATCTTAGATCTACTGCAAGTCTAAGTTGCACTGCATGACCATTCTTTTAGCTAAAGTAATTCTTTTCAGATAATAATCCACATGTTCGTGTGGCCACCACATTCAGTATTGACAAAGTCTTCTGGTTCGTGTACCTAATATCCACTGTTGAGAACACTCATAAATTTACATATTGCCCATCTCATCCACTGGAGAATCAGCAAAAGGCTATGTTGCTTCTCTATGATCTTTTTCATATCCCATTAGATAGATTAAATTTGCATAATATGGACCTCTGATATAAATTTCTTTACGAAAATCTTCAAATAATAAACAGTTAATAAAATTTAACCTTTCTTTCTAATCTTTAACAACCATAAGTGATCCAACATGCGCTATAGTCTGTGTTTTCTCCTTTTTTGCAAATATGTCTCAAGATGTTTGAAACTTTTATTATAATTTCTGCTACTATTCCTTATTACCACAGTAAATTCGTGCATACAGAGACATTTTTTTTCCTTAATAATATTTTTTTATTTTAGCCATTTATGTTATGGCCAAGATAGAAGGCAAAAGTGATCAGGTTTTAAAAAATATACGTTTTGGATGGATAAAAATACAGAGGGAAAATTCATTGCTTTTTGTTATAACAATTTAATACAACTGAGTTTATTTTTCACTTCACTCATATTAAAGTTCCTTTATCAGAAGTTCCAACAATAATTTGTTTATTTGATGTAAGCATACATATTCAAGCTTTATGAAAAATTAAAGACTCTGCTAAATATTCAGTGTCTGAAGGTAGATATGATTATGGTTTTTTACAATCCTGAAGATACATGCAAATTCAAAACAAACTGACCATAAAAAAAAATGACCATCATGGACATGAAGTCTTTTAAGAATAATCCATGAATGTATTAAGTACATAGTCAATAGATAGTTATATAATTTAAATTTAAAAAGCTAAAAAAACTCTCAATTCATAAATAGTACTGCATTTTGCTCTCTACCTTCACTGAACACTAGTCAAATTTCTGTTTCACATTTCTACTTTAGTATTAATTCTTTATGGTTGATAACATAAACCATACTTTTTAACCATGCTTGGAATAGCAAATTTCCATAAGCTACAAAGGACACCTAACAAAAATCCTTTGAAAGACAGCAAAGCATAATATCAGTCATCAGAATACAAAATTTGTGTATATTATAAATCCAACTGATATGTATGATTTGTGTATATTATAAATCCAACTTGCTGTCAATTATGAAATTTTGTACTCATAAAACAATTAAATATTCTCAAAACCAACTTTAATTTAATGAATACAAAGTTAAATGAGAATATATGCAAAGTTTCGAAAATCATCTTACTATTATATACAGTAATACTATCATACAGCAGCTTGAAAATCTCATAAATAACAAAAAGACTCAATTTAAGTATTTTCTGTCAGCTTTTATTTTTGAGTGTGTTGCACAGCATTTAAAATTCTAATTCTTCTTCTGTAACTTCTAAAAAAAAATGACTGAAGGCCAATTGCAAATTTAGAATGGAAAAAAAAAATAAAAGAAACTTTCCTGCAAAATATACTAGTACTGATCAGCTACACTAGGTATATCAGGCCACAAATCTGGAAATCTATGACTGGAAACATAATATCCTCAGTTATAAACATAAGCTATTATTACAAAAGAATAATTTCATTTTTTCAGTCTGCTTATAGTTATTACTAAAAATAATGATAAATATAAAATTATTAGGATAATTACTTGTGTAAATTCAGATTTTTTCAAACTATCTTTCATTTGACACCATAAATGACATAGCTGAGGTACAGCATCAATAAAAGTATTAAGAACGACACCAACAGCTGCTTTGGAATTTTCATGACTCAAATTTGTTTTGTGCCTAACATTCTCAATTAAAGTAGGTATTAGCCAATCAGGCACATTGATATCAGACACACTATCAGTTTGAGTGCTACACTGAGTGGTATTTACAATTGTTGCATTAGCTTTTGCTGCTTCATATTCACAATTTTTAGATTCTTGATTTTCCACTTTTCTGCCTTCTGTAGAATTAACATTATCTGTACATAAAACTGGACTAGAAGCCTCTACAGTGATGTCTTGAGTTGAACTAGAGTTAGAAATGCTATGATTTCTAAGTTCTTCTCTTTGAATTTCACCTATAAAAGTAAGTATACTTAGAATCACTAAGAAATAAATAAACTTAGATTAACACATAAAAATAATAAATGTTTTAAAAGTACAGTTTACGATAAAGGCTAAATAAATAAAACCTTTATAGAATTCAAAACACAAAAGACAAAAGCAATAGATTTTTAATTAATATGAAATAAAAACTGGTTTTAAATAACAATTAGATTGACGAAGTTTCATCTGTCTAATTATTATTTTAGAACCAGTTTTCATTTCTTATTAATAGACTACACTTGGTAATTACCTACAAGTATAACAGTGACCAGAAAATTGTGAAGTTTTGTGGTGGACTTAATGAAGGGATGAGAATGTGTTTCAGACAAAAAAAAGTTACAAATAGTGTCAATAGAGGGCATTTTACTTTGAAAATCTATAATAAAAATGTAAATCTCTGCTGACATCATGCAGCAGCTGTTATAAAACCTAGAAACATTTGCAGAGACTTTGTATTCTATGTGCTCGTTGTTCACAATGATGATAAGGTTAGGAGATCGAGCTTTGATAGCAATATTGTTTTACCAAAACAGCAAGCACTTTCGTAATGTGTGGCCTACCTCAATCCGTATGATTTTTGGCTTTGGGGCATTTGACACATCTGGTAAGTAGTGACAATCTAAGAACTTTCCCTGATCTTAAAGCCAGTATTTCATGCAGCTCTACAGCTCTACTTAACGAGATGGCTCCTGACCTAAAGTATTTCATGCAATGTGCTGAACGTCTCCCAACACACGCTTTGGTCAACTGTGGAACATGCCATCTTGCGATTTCAGATGGAAGTTGAAAATGATTGCCATCATGTGGAACATGTTTTTTTGTAACAAAATTTGTAAAATTTCAAAACTATTGTAAAGGTGTGGCTAAATGTATAATTTATTAATATGATGCTGTCCGGTGACATTATTTGAAACTAATACTTTTTTCACTGAAAGAAACTTCATCCATTCTCATCACTTCATTAAACCTGCCACAAAATTTCACAATTTTCTGATCACTGGTTTCGCTTGTAGGCAGCTTTGAAATAGGATTCTTCAATTATAGCCACATGAACAAAATTTTAATACTTTTGCATTAAGAATCATACCTTTTTCATCACAAGTCAAAGGATCTTCACTGGGCTCATAGGGAGAACCAAAAAGTTTAGCTCGTTTACGTGCCAGTTCTCTGTAAAAACACACTTTTATAAATAAATATGCACACAACACAAACTGCTGTTATTTAATGTTATATAATTCTGAATATCACCAAACAGTTAAATTTCATTTCAATTTCCTCATACAAAATAGAATTTTCTCTGGTTGCAAGGCATTAAATGGTTCTTTCTGACTCCCCTCTGGAAAAAGTCGCCAACAAGCTGGCAACTTTGTAGATTGGCAAAAATCATTTGTTATGCTATTTTTACAGCTCATTGTTCTATTCATGAACAATAAAATAAGCATTTCATAAGAAATCAAAAATTTTACAAGAAAAACAAAACTCCATGTGACAAATATTTACATTTTTATAACCAATGAATTAATTCTCAATTAATTGACAGTTAAATATAAAGCATGTAAATCCAATGCACCTGTCAATTCGTTATTATTACATGTGAATTTTAAACTAGGCTAAAAACATGACAATTCTACCACATGTTGAAATAGGGGTATAGATAATCTAAGATTATCCATTAAATTGTTGAGTAAAATATTTTTAGATATACAGTATGAATCTAGTAATTCATTTGAGAACATATCTAAAAAATATTAAACTTTTAACTAAAAACGTTTTTGAGGAAATTTGCTTGCTATGAAGGTTGTTTCAAAAATTTAGATATAGTGATCATTGCTCAGGATTTAAATCATTACTAAATGTGGTGTGGAGTTCCTTTTCAAATGGCAGCCTTCAAACTCATGAAACCATTTCCAAAGATACATTAGCTTTCCAAACATAGGCTGCAGCTTATTTTCAAAAAGCCAAATTAAAGCAGTGAATTCAACAGCTTTCACTTTTGGATCAATATTAAATTTCCATCCTTTTAACTCTTGAATTTGACTTATTTAACCACAACAAAAGCAGTAAATTACAGTTAAGTACATGGGGCTATATGCCTAGTCGAGGACTTTCTACAGAAAACTGGCTCATATTCATATGGGAAAAACTACGAAAACTCCTATGCAGCCCGACTATTTACTGAGATTTGAACCTAGGTTGAACTACCTAGTGGGCTCTTTACTTCTGTAGAATCTGGGCTGTGTAAAGTAAGGTCCAGAAACTGCTCACTAATTTTCTGGGAGTCTTTCTGTTAGCTGTAGTATCACATGTCTAAGAATATTAAAATTAACTTCAAAATCAGAAACTTGGTTTTTCGGGAGAATGGGAATGAGGTTTGATCATTGCAATTTCCAGTTTCATCAATTATGCGAAAACAGGTGACACCTTCCTATGGTTCACTAGTTGGTTGATGAGAAAAATTTTTACATTTTAAATAAAAAATTTTAAATCTCTTTTCCATTTAATTCTCTTTGCTCAACAATACATCATTTTAAATATGATTTCTTAAAAATGGTAGAACTCTATTCTATGGCCAGATGCATATGCTTTCTACTACTATATCCATGTATCTGTCTTAGAGTGATTTCTATTTTAGTGTGCATGACAAGAAGCCAAGATTCTGCAGCCTGTAATTGAATGTATCTATATCAAACAGCATTTTCAAGTACGATGATGTATGCATATCAAAGTATCATTAGGCATTCTTCGTAAACTGTTTAAGTGATGCCTTATCTTTAATGCTCTTCTCATCATTTGAGAAAAATAGGATAAGACTATTATTGAATGAATCCTTTATAGTGCCCTCATAATGCATATAAACCAAAAGTACTGCTCAGTGAAACATAGTCCACATTAAACCAAAAGAGAATTCAAGCACTCAAACTGAATTTTAAAAAATGAGTTTTTTTTTTTTTTTTTTTTTTTTTTTTTTGTTTATAAGATTTCACTTGGTGCTAAGCATAAAAACTGGCACAAATGTAACTAAATGGTGGCAACCCTAAAGATATTTAAAACTTCATGAAAAGAATAACTACTTTATTTATTATGAATACAATATACATTATATTTTATGAATATATATAATCTTTAGCATATGCAATGCCAAGACTGTGTGTTATGCTGCATTTGTGCAAAGACTGCTATGTACAGATTTCACACATTTTTTAATGATTTTGCAAAGATTTATATAAAAACCTTAGAACCTTAGAAATTTATTTTCTAATATCTGATAGCCCTTTTGTTGAACTATCACATTACATCTTGTTTTCCAAGGTAAAAGTCCTTTTCTTAAAACATCAAGGTTGATTTTATTCCACTCCCCCTTCATAATCTTCCAGAGTCCATTCAATGCTTTCGGATGCCGCTTATAAAGAGCTTGTCTTAGAAGTCCAAATGCACAGTAATCCATAGGAGAAACATCAGGGACTTGAGTGGGATACATTAGAGGAAATAGCTTCAATTCCAGTTTCATTTCTCTCTCTCTCTCTCTCTTTTTTTTTTTTTTTTTTTTTTTTTATCAAAAAACAGAGCAGTAGATGAAGACACTTGGAGCATTATCCTGATGGAAATTAACACAGTGAAGATTGCTTGGATAAAGGGATTAAATTTCATTAAAAATAAATGTTAACACATATTTTTGATAGTAATCCAAATTAATTTTCAGATTTTTTCTACTTTCCTTATTTTAAGTTTTCCGTTATAAGAGAATTCAGTAATAACCATAAAACCTTTAGAAAAAATTTCCTTGTTTTCTCTGAACCAACATATTAAGTCTTTTTCTCCACTTTTTCGGTAGTAAATCAATCTTTTTCTATTGCATTCAGTTAAGTATATCCAAGCCTCATCAATTACAACTACAATATTTCATCATCTGCCAAATAATTTCCATACAGCAATCTGCACATAGTCTTACACTGAGAAACATGTTTCGACGCTGAGCATTTTTTTTTTTTTTTTTTTTTTTTTATTTATTTATTTATTTATTATTATTATTAGCTTTAAATTAAATTTTATAATTTTGTTCACAGTTCCTAATGAGATATTTAAAGATTTTGCAATAGCTCTTTGGGAGGCTGGATTTTCCTTTAAAACAAGAGATGCGACTTCAGATTTAATACGAGCTGTACCTACCTTTATTGGGTATGCATTTTTTGCCTTCTTCCGAATCAGATATAAACTTTTTGCGTTCTTTCCTTTCATATTAATTGCGTCACTTATTTTATATGTAGAAATATTAAAACCATCCTTTTCACACCTTTTTTAATAATTAAATAAGAGTATTTCTCTTCGGAAGCACAAAAATATAGCCTTTGATCGACTGTTTAATTTTCAGTGCCATTTTAAAGAAAAGAATATTTTTAATACTGCAGATGATTATTAAATCTTATTCCAATTTGATGCCAGTCATGTTTGTATTTTAAAATTAACATTTAAATTCGTGGAGAAAATCGAAATCATTACAAAAATGTGTGAATACCCTCTGTATATGGGAAGAACAACAGTTCCATTCTACCCTTGTACACACAAAGGTTTTTAGCTAAAAAAATATCAGAGAATTGCGTAGCTTTGGCACAGTGCACATTAAACATTATACAGTCAAAAGTCTTTAATCCGGACTCGTTGGGACTTCGGCGATTCCGGATTATCGGTTTTTCTGGATTATAGATCATCAGTTTAAATCTGGTAAGATGATATGCAGAAATTATAAAATTAAAAATATGAAGCAGTAATTTATGAAATAAAGAGCAATTATGATCTAAAGGGTATCAAAATTTACACAAAAAAAAGCTTAATATTTATTTGTTTACTTTATTAAACATTTCTTTCAACGCGTGCATGCGTAAAGCATACATTATGCATAGTTGAAATTAGAAAATTGAAACCAGAAAACTATTTGATGTGTATTCGTGATATTTATAATGATGAGGAATTTGATTTAAATCATATCAAAGACGGAGTATATCGAGATGAAATACTACATTTAGTAAGGAATTATAAGCCGAATAAAATAAAAACATCTGCCCTGAAGATAAGGATAGTGCTGACAGATCAACTTCCAGTTCATTGCTCGCCGCATGCGTCAACGCATGCAGAAAGTTTGTAGCTTTGAGGTCCAGATTATAGATAATTCCGGATTATGGGTGTCCGGATTAACGACTATTGACTGCACTCGGATAAATCTGTCATTCTTTCCCTAGTTGTGTTTTTAACTTTATATTCCTAGTTTTATTATTAATAGATTATTATTATTACAATTCAAATATAACATAATGGAGACTCGAATCATCAAGGCCTCATTTCACAAACAAATTGGTTTATGAACAAATTACCTGAACAGAAAATGCTTTGGAAGACAAACAATGTCTAAAGTTATAAACACTCGTCAGCAATACAATATTTTCAAAGGTGCTTTGAAGCAAACATATGCCCCATAATTAATGCTCAGAACTTCAAGAACAATAAAAACATCTGAAGATAAGGATAGTGCTGACAGATCGACTTCCAGTTCATTTGCACACCGCGTTGTACGACTATTTTTGTGGAAAGTTCCAGATCGTTGATGTGTTTCTTTTGATAAAATACATTTTATTAACCTATCATCAAAGCTGTGTGCATTCAATCTACTGTGAAGACATACACATACAACAATATTATCATTGCATGGCTATTCATGACCCATAATAAATAGACTAACAGATTTTGGCCTTTGGACACATATCTGGCAACTGGTGGCCTACAAAAAGTGCCAAAATATTTAACACAAAAAATGATGGCCTCATTACATACTGATCTCACTGTAAATTCAGCTACTAGAGATATACAGTTTTCATTAATTGAAATAAATTTTTAGAGCTTATTTTGCAAACTACGTGTCAAGTTTCATCTCATTATAAGCATTTTTTATGGTGTGGCACTTTCTCTGCAAGGCACTATATGATAATTCATAAAAAATAAGAAGCTTTTATCTAATTAATTAATAAAAATATTTACTTCCTTTTACGTAAAAAAAAACTTTAAAATTTAGTTCTTTACTTTGCAATAATTGTCAGAATTACCAAGCTAATAATAACAAAACTGATTTATCATACTTTCAAAAATAGCTGTTAGATCTAGCACATTTCTAATCACATGATCTACATATAATATAAATTCTATACCAATAGCTTCAGAAAAGAACTTTTGAAGCAATATCTTAGGTAGAAAAGCAAACTATTTGGAAGTACGAAGGAAACAAGAATTAGCATAATATTCATAATTATTCAAGACTACTTTAGAAGTTTTAGTTATAGAACCTTCTTCTTCAGCTGCAGAAATGCAAATTACAAAACAGAACACTGTGCTCAGGCAGCAATAAGGAGAAGAAGGAAGTCAAGCCATTGGTGCCATCTATTGATTAAAAATGAAAATAACTATGAGATAACTTCCTTAAAAACTGTGGGTAAAAATCGATTGTAAGTGGGATCATTAACTAAAACTGAAAGATTTTTATGATTATGAAACACTTCTAGAAAATCTAATTCCTCAACAGAAGATTTTATACATATATATATATATATATATCGCCTTTCCATTTTGTACACCTTAATGTGCCAATATATACGGACGTGTCGGGAAATTGCAACAGAGAATTGAGACTAAAGTTTTTTAGACATAGTTTTTTTAATTCATTGAAAATTTGTCGCGCAAAGTTTCAATTGTCTGTTTCAGCAAAACGCGTAATGGAGTTAGCTTGGTTCGAAGTTCATTTTAAAAATTTCCCTTGAAAAACCAAAATGAACTTCAAATTGGGCTAATTAACCATTTTCCGCTTCTTAATTTTAATATATTTTTCATATTTTACCTTGATCAATTGATTAATATTTTACTATGTTTTATAATCTACCTTTTTGATTAGCATATAGCCACTATCTTTATTCTACTTCATTCAATTGATTTGTTTTTCTACTGTGTTAAAATTTCCTAATTCGTTTAGCATTTAGCTTTTTTATTAATTTAACTTGTAAATATTCAATTTTTTTTTTCCTCTTTCACACTTTTCATAGTAACCAAATTTTTTCTCCTCTTTCATACTTTTCATAGTAACTAAATATGCTTATGTTGGAGTTTTTTCGGAGCCACAGTTTTTGGTAACTTTTTGGCGTGCTTACTAAAATTTATCTTCTAATTTCCTTAATTTTGCAGCACAATGCGCAAAATTTTGACCTAAATTGGTCTTTTTTCGTTTGTTCTTACAACCTTACTTATAATAATATATACTATATATATATATATATATGTTTTAGGCTGCAGAAAAAGGAAAAATGCAAATTTCTGACTAACAGAGGAATGTGTTTCTTTCTTCCTAAAATTCACTGTATTTCTTCACATGAAATTTTAAGAATCTGTTAGTTTGATTAATGTAAATTAAACCAAAATAGGAACGAATCCTGCATATACCTCAAGAGTTCATATCTGGAACAGGTCTTTTAAGTAATGAACTGAGAATTCTATTAATTGAAAAAAAAATTAATTGAAAGTTGAATTTCTATAAAATACATGCAAGTCTATAGTTATAGAAAGGAAGGGATGATAACAGGATTCCTAAAATCAGAGAGTACTTTCAGATGTGTTAAGATGAGAATTTTTTATTTGCTCAGTCAATAATGTTATCTTGTAGTGTTCTTCACCCCTTTTCTCTAATAAAATGTTGAGGAACTAGTGAACTACAAAGTGACTTATCGCAGAGTTCAAAAAAATTAAGACATAGTCTTAAGGGTTAAAATACCCTTTTATTCACTCAAATAAGAATAACAGTTGGACCCTTCTCAGGCTTACAAGAAAGCCCCTACTCCTGCTTTAACTCAGAATAAGAAATAAGAACTAAACTAAACTAAACAAGACTTAGTTGAACCTAGACAAAATTACCTAACATATAAATACACAATTCAATTTTAACAGAAGATTCCTACAAGTGCCCTATTTTCATTGATAAACTTCATTAGAGCAATAATATATGATTTTAAAACTTTACAATTAATGGCACTTATATTAAAATCAGTAATGTCAAAAATCTGTCTAATAGGGGCTGTTAAACTACAGTCAACCACAAAATGCCTAGCATCACCATCAATCTGACAACTATTACATAGTTTATTTTCCTGCACATTAAATCGGTTGAAATGGAACAGAAACCTACCATGTCCAATTAAAATCTGATTAACATCAATATTGTTCAAACATTTTATTTTATTCATGATTTTAATTAGATCCATAAATCCTTCTATTTTTTAGGTGAAGAGAACCACTGTACTTTCCATTTGTTAATGTAGAATTCTTCGATTCTTCGAATACAATATTATCTGTGGTTTTAGATATCTGTCATGTTCTATGTTGTAAATTTGTATTTATTTTTTGGGGGGGTTGTAATTTTGTGTTATATGTGCTTACTTATTTTTAATTTAGTATTTTTGTTTGTTGTTTGAGTGTGGCTGTGTTACTGGCTGCCCTTATTTGTGGAGATACGGGGGCCCTTCTTTTGAGCTATGGGGACACTCATGTCCAGGTGGGCTGAAAGGAGCCTCCAATTCTTACAATTACCTAACATAGTTAGCCCTTAAATTAAACTAGCTGGCAAATAATCAATAGACACATAATAATAAGGCTGAGCACAACAGCTTCTAGAGTGACTTAGCCAGATGGCAAACATGCATCACTAAGATACTCCTTCTAACTTAATTGCATTCAACACAGTTCTAAAAACTCATTCTGGTAGGAAGTTGTAAGTGGAAACAAGAATTGAAGGAAAAGGGTTCCAAAATTAAAATAACTGTTATAATATTAAAATTACCTTACAATCTGAAAAGCCTAACATTGCCATTATTAAATGTAATTAAGAAAGTTTAAGTAACAACATTTTCCTCTTACAAAACATTCACTACACAATATTACACTACACATTATTACACAGATTCGAATTTAAATACTTTCAGATTAGCCACATCCTCATGAAAGGTTGCCAGCACACTAGCAACTCTGTGATTTGACAAAAAGCATTTATTTAATTAATTTTATAGCTGACAGGTATTGTTCTGCTCATAAATAATAATAAAAAGAAACATTTTATTAGAAACAACAACTTACATGAGAAAAAGAAATGTCTATGCAGCTAATATTTTAATTTTTATATCTAATGAATATTGTTCAGAGAAAGGACACTTAAATGTTGAAAACAGGGATGCAGATAATCAGAAATTATTAAAATTTACTTAATAATTATCATAGAATATATTTTGCAGGTAAAATACAAACTTGATCACTTTTCTTGCTAACTGAGAATTAGTAGTTACAGACTCAGTGTGCAACTTTGCTAAAGCACTTTCAATGATCCATATTAATTCCATACTTGGAATCTGAAATGATAATTTTTATTAATTTACACAAATATGTAAAAATTATATTTGCCATTACATCAATTAACATAATAGAATGTTAATTTCTCTAGTAAAAGACTGTCAATACATACAAATGTTGTATTATTGAGCACAAACTGTGTATACAAACTTTGAATTACTTCTGTAAGCATCATAGTTTACGTTGTAGAACCCGAGAAGTTTTACGTTTGTTTTCTTAAATAATCATAAAAAAAATACATACCAATTTACTTCATCATATTGAAAAATTCAATTAATCAATCTTACAGCTTCTTCTTAATAGTTTTTATTTATAACTATCTGATTGACGATGTAAATTTATTTTTCTGATGATCCACTCTTACATTAGTATTACCAGAGCACTATTCTCTTAACTTGTTTCATTAAATTCAGAATGAAATCTGAGCTGTTGACACTAAATGACATACTATTAGTAAAATCAAGCATTTTTCTTTTTATTTCACACATAAATACAATTTAGAATAAAATTCACATACATGTATACTATAATTGTTGCATTTGTATCAACTAAATTTTTCCAATTAATTCAAAACTAAATTTTTAGCATTATATGAAAACAACTCTACACTGAGATTATTCATAAAGAACTTCTCAACGCAACTACTTATCAATCAGCCAACCTTACAGAAACATCTATAATAAACAGGATTAAAACTTTTCATAAGAAACTCAATATTACTTTCAATGCAAACTACAACAGATTTACTAATCTTTATGCGATTCCCAAATTCCATAAAACACCATTAAAATTTAGATTTATAGCTAATGGAACTAATAATTACAAGAAAAATATAGACTATTATTTTTCAATTCAACTTAATAAAATCTGTAAATTTATTTTCAATGATTGTAACACTAATCATAACTATTGCTGGATCATTCATAATAACACTCCTGTCATTAATACCATTCATACCATTAACATCCAAAACATTAACTGCTATGATTTTGAAAACTTATATACCTCACTTCCTCTAGAAGAAATCTATACCAGTCTACTTGATCTACCAAAACTTTTCCCTAATATACTCAATATCATGACTCTTGACAAATGGAAAACCTACCTAAAATGCACACTTTTTCATAACTACATCAAGTTTCAAAATCAACTTTTTTAAACAAGTCAGAGGATTGCCAATGGGCTTACATTCCAGCACCTCGATCTGTAATATCTTTTTATTTGTCAAAGAATTTAACTTCCAAAAAAATCTACAACCACAAGAGTTAAATTACTACAAACACACCTACAGATTTATTGATGACCTTATTACAATTAATAATTTTGGTAAAATTGAAAACTCCGACATTTATCCGAATTGTCTTAAACTTAATAAAACTAATAATTCACAAAATAGCATAGACTTTCTAGATCTTCAAATCATTAACTACAAAAAAATTTTACTTTTTGACAAAACAAGAAACTTCAATTTCAATACTAACAAATTAATAAATTGGAACTCCAACATATCCAAAAAAGTAATTAACAATACTATAATTAATCAAATACAACGAATTAAAACTATATGCACAGATACAATAGATTTACAACGCGAAATTTTGATCCTTATCAAAATTCTCAAAAATAATCTAATTCCCTTTCAATTTATCAACCATTGCCTTAAAAGAGCAGGCGTTAAATACTCACTCTAAATCATTTAACTGATAGGGATATGATAATTTATTCCTAAACCTGAGAAGGCGGTATAAGTTGGATGACTGTCAGTTGAAAGATTTGTATATAGTGTAATTACTCAATTGTATATATTGTAAAAAGCTAATTGTCTTCAGACATATACTGTTACTGTTACTAAAAAAATGGGCCTATTTCCTGCCTTTAGACTGTCTACTAGCTCTTGGATAGCGAAAATGCCTTTTTCCTTTCTTAAATTCTTAATCATTGCGACACGACAATTAGCCAGAAATTAATTAATTTCCATTCACTAGTATTTTTAAAAAAATCTTAACAGACGGTCTCTCTCAGATAAGAACTCCACAAAATACATCCCTCAAGAATTCCAAGTCCCACCCACTACCATAAATTTCTTCACCCAAGTCTTACCGACTGATATAATTCAAAGCCCCTACTGCCGCTAAGAATTTTCGGACACCCTACACTTCTGAGTCAGACACGAAGAGAACACACTGCCAACTCCCCCACTAGAAAGAATGTAAGTTACTTAATACCTTTCTGGCCTTTATATCTTCATGTACATTCACTGATCTTATTTATATTATTTTTTTTTTTTTTTATATTATTTTATATTATTTTTATGTTCTCTTTGATTTGTTTTTGTAAAGTTTGCATTATTTATCTTTTTTATAATCTTCTATGTTTATTTCAACTTTACTTTGATTTCGATTTCATAATGACAATTTCCAATGTTTAATTTCTACAAATAATATAGTACAAAATACATAAAGATGATAGTGTCGGGGACGATTACTCGAGTTTTACAAGATTTCTCTACAGTAATTGATTTTTACTCCAAATTGAATTGACTAAAATGCTTCATGAGAATCAGTTTCTTGAGTAAAGTAACAACTATTCGCGGAAATATTTGGCCTGACTAGAATTGCCGGTTTGGCTTTAACTTATAACTCGAGTAAAGACGAAACACTTTCATATTTACGTATTTTTATCAATTATTGATCATTGAACGGGAGTTGGTTTGTTCCCCTTGAAAAGTCAACTAATTTCCGATCAATGACAATAATTACATGTTTTAATTTTTACTTTTACAATTGTAATATTATTCTTCGTGATGATTTAACTCCAGTCCCCGTTAAAACATTATTAACATTTTGCTTTCAAATTACTTCAAAACATCTTTCAAAATATAACTTACCAGTATGGATGCACACTTTTAAAATAATTCTACTTTAATTAAACTTAGGAGATAATATAATCAATTAATCAATACTGTTTAGGAAATAAATTATTATTAACTAACTTTGCAGCAATTGCGCAAGTAATAATAACTTGTATTCGCACTAAATGGATTTAAGTTCATACAACATTATATATATACAAATATAATCTGTAATTATTTCAGGATTATGTGATAGTTTCAACAGCTTTGCAAAGTATTTTTGTTTAGATACAAAAATGACATTTATAGCTTATAAAAAAAAATCAAAGCTTATAAAAAGTGGGAGGGAAAAACCTCTCAGTTCAGTTGTTTAGAAAATTGTTGTTGTTTACTGCAGCGAATTCATGGTGGAATCGGATTAGCTTTCTCTATTTTTAATTAATTATGTTGAACATTTTAGTAGTTTAAAAGGTAACTACTGTGAGATATTGCAATACTGTAAGACTATCTGAGGAAATTTAAGCATTTTGTTTTTCCATTTGTTGTGATAAAAAAATTTATTTTATTCACTTTTCATCGGACTTGTGCCTTTAATTTATTATGAACCCGTACACATGCAACCCTTTTTGGAGTCAGAAGTGGGATTTGAATGCCAATCACAAGAGCGATGGAAGATCAATTAAGAAAATTCATGGCAGCCTTTGCTGCATTTAAAGAAGAGATGAAAGATTCTGTTAAAGAAATGAAAGCGGGACAGGAATCCGTTAATGAAAAGATGAAAGCCGCTCATTAAAGATAGAAGCTGGTCAAGAATCAGTTAGAGATGAAGGTTGTTAAAATAGAAATGAAAGTTGTTAGAGATGAAAGCAGGTCAAAAGGAAATGAAAAGAGAGATTACCTGTATAATAGAAAACAAATTTCAGGTTATGGAAGGCAGAATTGACGCTGTTGAAAATAAAGTTGGACACATCGAAAAAAAAGAGTTTCTTCTGTAAAAAAAAATAAATAAAAGAAAGAGTTTCTGCTGTGGAGTAATGAATCGAAGGAAGAGTTTCTGCTGTCCAACAACAAATTAATGACAGGGTTTCTGAAGCCGTCGCTAAAGAAGTTGACGCCTTAAAGAAGTGCAGAGCGACAACAGGAAGCAATTCAGATGCCTTTAAATTTTTACCTATGCCTGCTCGTCCCTCTCTGAAGTTATCTACATATGATGAGAAGACCTCTTGGCAAGTGTATAAGACACAATTTTCTAAAATGGCGGAAGCAAATGGATGGGATTCCCAAGTTAAGGCCTGTCATTTCACTGTTTCTTCAAGAGCAGACGCTGCAGATGTTCTACAAATTGTTCCAGAAAATCAGAGACTAGACTTCGAAGCTCTATCAGACTTCAGTTAAAATCCTGTCAACAGAAGCCCACGGAAACACTCCAACGGCTCGCCACAGATTTTAAAAGGCTGGCCTACCTCACCTTTTCGGAGTGCCCGACAAAACCAAGGCAAATTCTATCCCTGCAATACTTTATCGACAGCATCCGTGATCCTGAAATACAGAATGCTCTATGAATGGCGGATGTTAAAGATTTGAAAAGTGTTACAGTGTACGCTATGAAATTCGAGGCAGCCCAGCAAGCAATTCATTGAGACTGCCACCCAGTCACAGCTTTTACTAGTCAAGTCCAAAAGCCAAAGGAATGGCTGCCTGTTTAGATGATTTAACCCTACAACTGAATGACTTGAGACGGAATATCAGTGACAAGAAACTGACCTTAAATATGTTGGAACCTGTGGAGCTGAAGGACACATACGACAGAACTGCAGAACACCCATGGGTACGGATGTTAAGACCGCTTCTAGCAAGTAGCACGGAAATTAATTAGTGGCCATATCATGGGACAGAGATTGCCAGCTAATGAGAAGCCCCAGTTTAAAGTGCTTCAAATTTCTGCAGTAAGTGGCGGCAGTAATGGACTTTTCATAATAGTACATATTAATGGAGTTCCCTGCAATATAACAATAGATACAGGAGCCAAAGTTACTATCATCTGAAAAGATTTAGCTTAACAACTTGGAAGCAAACTTATCTGGACGCCACCATCCATTACTCTCCAGACTGTGACCGGGAGAAGATCAATATTGATGGAAAGTTGAA